TATGCCCGCAACTGCTTAAAAAAGGAATCTTTTTTTGTCTATTTTTTTGTTGTTTTTCTTTTTCTTTCAAAGCAGTTCAAATGTATGGAATTTCATGTATTGTTAAAACAGCTTCTTTTCCCATCTCTCTTCTCAACACCTCATGATTAACCGCTAGGAACAAACCTTGACAAAGTTCTCAAAAATCAAGAGCTATGCAAAAATACATTACAGGATGCGTAGACTATTTTGACTGGCAAAGACTCGATCAGGTAGCGCAGATATAAGATTTGAGTGCAAATACCTGAAAAAAAAAACAGGAATAAATTCATTAATTATTTTAGATTTATTTATTATTACTGCTGACCAAATATTATCGTTTTCACCATTATCAGTCATGTTCTTTGATGGCTATCGGGAAATACTTTGAAAGAAGCTTCTTTGTAAGTATTTAGCTTTGTCGTCCCTTTTGTTTTCATTTTTTTTTTCGTTGTCGTTGTTGCTAATCTAATCGCATTAAGGTACTTCACGACAGTCACGATCATTCTAATAATATCTCTCTCTATCTCACCCATTTTGTTAATAAGGTTTTTTGGCCGTCGAGCCCTTACCCTTGTAGGGTAATACCTTGTTTGGTAAGATATCTGAATGTATTTCTCTAAAAGGCAACGCAGACTGGTGAACAAACTTTATCCCAGACCACGTGCGTCGTTTCATTGTTTACTGCTGGCTTAAGGCAACAGGGTTTTGAAAGTTTCTATTAAGGTATCGTGGTCTATAAGAGTCACGCACGTTATGGGAAATACGCAAAACTGCAAGTGAACTGAAAAGAATACGAAGAGTTTGGAAAATGGAGAACTGCGATAGTATTGATGCCATGGTGAGGAGAAATGAAATTATGCCCAGATGTAACTCCCTCTTACAAATCTTTCAAAATAATGATTACAGTCAAAACTTAGCAAAAAAAGACGCTGTTAAGACTTTTAAGAGAAGCCGCCATATAACATTTTGCTACATGAACATGCTTTCTCTATTCTAGTAATTATCTTCTTTTTCGTGTTCACCAGCTGCAAGGGGCCTGCCTTCCTTGGCAAACACTTCCTGTGACTCCCTTGCTTACGACTATTACAAAGACATGTGTGCTATAGTCATAGAACCTAAGGTCAAAGAAATGTTATGTCATTTTAAACTAGGTGTTTACTTCTATCATTTTATGAAAAAACAACAACTAAACTAAGCGGCGATAGACACGTCGATGGCTATTGTATTCTGTACAGTGCCTTTTTTTTCTTTCCGTTTAATTTCTTTTTACTTACAAGTTCCGCAGCTTTTTCAAGCTGGAAAAAGTTTCGTTGTATAATTTCCTTATAAAATTTGATTCCAGATACCTGTGAAATAAGTCATAGTAAACTGAGAGTTGAAGAGGAATGCTTAAATTAAACTTACTCTTGAATTACTTCTTATTGACTTATTAACAAAAATTGTATTTTTCCCCTTGTCTAAGATTAATTTAATCGCTTATTTGAATAGCCTGAATTGCAGACGATTACTTTGTGTCGCTTTTACACCCTCAGCAACGTCTGAATCTACCGGCCGTTAATGCCGTCCAGTGACGTCACTACGCGAAAAGCGGGTAATGATTTTGATCGGTTGATTGACAAAAACATTCGCATAATTATGTATACTTATGAGAAATGTTAGCGAGATTGTCGTTTGATACTCAGCGAATCGCATGCATTGCATGCTTACGTGGGTTTCAAAAATTTAGACAATCTTTATCGTGAACAGCCAAATTGCCCTTGTCTTCGGAACTATGAATTGTTAAATTGAACTACGAATGAAGAATCATTGCGGAGAGTCGGTAGGTTTTTCATTTAGAGCCGCTTTGTGGTTTCGACAGCGACTATGTTTGTGCGAAGTTTTCTGAGAAGTTATAAGCATAATTAGACCTTCCTGTCATTTTCACCGTCAAGTGTAATGAAGCTGTTAGCTTTTCTTTCTTGTTTTCTTTCTTCTTCGTTGAGGACCAAATAGCTTCTTTTGAATTACAACAAATTGTTGTGTTTTTGAAGTTTTCCGTGTGTGTATTTATTTCACTGCATATTTGCGCACGAGTTTGATTATTGAATTACAACAGATTCAGAGTACTGCATGCAGTTGACAGTTTAAACGTTAAACATCAATTACGATCAAAAAGAGTAAAGCAATTCTGTAGCATGTATACATTTCCAGACGATTTTTCCTTGTTTGCCAGTTGAAAATCGTGTTTTTCTTGCATGAATTAAAGCAAAGGAGTAGTGACGTCACTGGATGGCATTAACGGCCGGTCGTTTCAGACGTTACTGAGGAAGTAAAAACGACTCGGAGTAATCGTCTGAAATTCAGGCTTTTATTTGAAGGTTTTGTCGAAAAAAAAACTACTACCAACGTTGTGCTGCACCTCGGTCACTTTGAACTAGAGAGTCCAGACTAGAGTAGTTTCCTTTGCAGTTGTGTTGTTTCGTCACGTAGAGGAGGAGAATGGCTGTGAAAGGAGGATAAAGCTAGAGCCATTGTCACTACGAAACAGTGCAATGTATCGAAGTGTATCAGTTATAAAAAAAACTTACAGTACTTCAAGATTTTCGAGTGATGAAAACACACTTTTTGCTAAATGCTCAATGTTGTTGGAGGACAAGTCGCTGCAAAAAATGAACCAGGATTAGCTAACATTTTTTTCATATATATGGAAGAGTTATTTCAACTTTCATTTCTTTAATATTGAAGCTAAATGGAAGGAAAAGAGTCGAAGCAAAGGTTTAATATCACAGCTGAGAACCGAACTCGGGACCTCTTGCATAGAAGGCCTGTACTGTTTTAGGATCTACTAGGTGACCCTAAGTCAGACACTAAGCCAACTACACACAGTAATGTTCACAATCATATGTTTTAGTCTCTCTGGTAACCAGTATGCCACATTCCCTCCTTCTCATTAGAAACAAACTTAACGAATCACAGGTAATAAAACAGCCAATGAAATAACATAATCGTATACTAGATACTATAAACCTACCATCTTACTTCTTTAAAGGTATCAACATCAACAACGTCATGATCAGTGTTAACACTTATTTAGGGGACCGACATTAACACCTTTGCCAGAGAGGAATTAGGCACACTTTCCGTAGGCTCCTGTGTTTGTGGGTTGGGATCGAGTTGTTTTGGACTTGAAATTTGATCAGGTAATTCTGAGACGTCACCTGTAACGCAGTCGCTGCCAGGATTACTGTGGACTGCATAACAACCTGGTCACATTGACGAGCGGTAGCTATATAAGGTTCACTTTCGTGTGATGCTGACAACTTGTTTTTTGAGTGTGTTTTTTTATTTTTGTTTTTGTCTTTTTACGCCATTGAATCGTTCTTTCGAATGGTTTCGCTTATCAGCACAACCATCCTCGGCAACTTTTTCCTTCCTTAATCTCTATATCTGACATCTTGAAACACCACCTTCTTCTGATCCTCTTCCTTTGCTTCTCTAAGCTCGGGTAACTTACAGTTGTATGAAAAACATCAAAGCCGCTGGAATGACTCCAGTAGTGGAATGGTAAGTTTTCCGAAATGTATACATGAGCAAACATCACGTAAAGTGTAGTGACGCATGGCACCTAACCCTCAAGGTAATTCTCTATCTCCTAGTACAAGGTTAGGACCATTATCCGTTCTCAGGCCATCGGTTACACCAAATCAAGCACTTACTATTTTGTCACATGTTGTACTACTTTCATCCAGTTTGGGAAATAATCTTTTAAAACTACCAAATCTCTCCCCTAGGTCCCAACAATTCTCTATTTTCCAATTGCCTATAATACACTCTGTTTGCCCCCCAAATTCTGCATAAACCATTGTTTTTAAATGCTCCTGGGAGTATTGCATTTTCCCAAGAGCATTTTAAGACAAAAAGTTATGCAAAATTTGGGGGGCAAACAGAGTGTATTATGGGCAATTGGAAAATAGTCAATAACAAGGCTAATTTTCTTGTCAATGCTCTGTCAAGTGGCCTAGTGGGTCAAATAAGCCCTTTGCACTAAGAGGTCATGTGACATCATTTTTATGAAAATGGAAGTTAGATGATTTTGCCTTCAAAAAACCATTGGTGGGTCATATCTGTGATTTAGTTTTTCAAACCCGCACCATTTTCTTAAAATGAGTAAGTTCGTAGCTGGTCACGCGACCAAAACGTGATTTTTAAAACTATGAATTACCTCTTTCTGCACAGAAATTTTGCCCTTAAACTTCAAGGAAATTGTTGAAAAGATGATGTGGTATTGTTTTCTGCACATCTGAGCATAAGTATCAAACGTTTAACAAGATGCAAGCAAAAGGAATTTTGGCCGCCATGTTGGAGGGCAATAGTATGCCCTCAAACGTGGCGGCCAATACAAATCATACTAATCTCCCTTAAATGAGTTTCCTTTCAAATTTAGGGTGTAAGATAATTTTTATGCGTTCCGTCAATTTTTGACATCAGCAAGATTCCAACTCATTGTTTAAAGGAAGCATTGGTCACGTGACCTCTTGGTGCAATTCGTCTATTGTTGGGGGTGAAACATGTTTGTTAACCAATTGGACTAACAGTCAAAGCACTCTCTGCATTTCTTTTTCATCGTGTCGATCGATCCCTTCTAGCCTTAAATGCTCTTCAGCCTTTGTTATGCCGTGAGCAGTATTGTTACCTGCCCCCTGGGGACATAATAAGTCCTAAGAGAAGAACAACCACTTATCTTGCTGTCACATTTCCCAAAATGCAACGCCCGCGTTTAAAAAGGACAAAGTAACATTCCAAGCACGCACTTCAGTCCCAAAGTGACCCATCGCATCAGTTTGCTTTCCTCCATGCGCAAGAGGTTTCTTTAGGCAATGTTCATCATTCCCCTTTAAATTTAATCCCTTCAACTTAAAGAAATCTTTCTGTTCTATCAATTAACGCGCTGATCTCGAAATCAATAAACTCTTCCTGAACAATACCATCGGTACTCACATTCATTGTGGAAATCCATACACGCCTTCTTGTGCGCCTCCATCACAAAAGCAAAGGCAAATGCTGGATCGCTTTCCTAGCAACTGGTATGCTATTTCGTCCTCCCCCGAGTAACCGTCCGCTTGGTTTGTCCATCTTCCAGTTCCTTTTTGCCGTTGCCGTCCCTCCCTTTTTTGTTAGTTGTCTTTTAACCCTTTCCGACGGAGAATGATTTTCCTTTCTTATAAATGAAAACAGGTCTTCTCTTACTAATCAACTACCTTTTCCTTCTCTTTTTCTCTCTTCTCCGATGGCGTTTATAACACTTGTTCCATCGTCATGCAATGCATCGTTGTTGGGCCGCCTTTGAAGCTCATGCTTTATGGAGAAACTCACTAAGCTAAGATGATGATTTTTGTTTTCCAGCAATTTCTGTCTCAGCACCATATCGCCTAACTTCTCGATCGACTTGTCTCACAGATTTTCCTCTAACGCCGCACCAGAATTACAGTAGTATGAAAAACCAACCTGTGGTTATTGTTTGTTTCATCGGTGCTCAGGAAGGGTTTAAATTTCCGGTTTATGTTGACAGACAGAACTCAAGTGTGTGGTTGAGATTGAATTTGCGCCATATAGGTGCTCTTGCTTTAATTTGTGCAAGCCTGCTTGTGATTCGGAAATGGGAATTATTATAATTTACGAGAAGACAAAAGGAAAGCAACATTATTTTGATGTGAAATAACTTACATAACTTGGGCGATCGTTGGAGCACATTTCTTTAGAACGTAAGTGAGTGAAGTTATATTCTTGCACTTAAACATATTCCCATAAAATTCGGTCCATGACGAACTACAGTATGCCCTGCAATCTAACCAGAAAAACTGTTGAAAATTGAAAAAATAAATGTTTTTTTATTATTATTTTATAACCGTTTTTACCGAACTAATGTTGTCATTCCAGTTGTGTCTACAACAGCAACTGCTTGGCATAGGGGAGAAAAGAGATCTTATAACGGCGAATACATCGGCTGCCAAACGTTCATTATTAAGATTAGTGGCTGGCTAAGTTAACCAAGTCAGTGAAAGAAGAGAATTCAAAGTAAACTACATATACTCGGGTGTCAGAGCTAATACCTACCAATAAAAACGACCCGGAAATCAACTTTCGTGAGATCTCCATAATTATTAACCGCTAGACAGCTGTAGTTTCCTTCATCAAGCAATACAAATTCTAAGTCCTGGGTCTTTGTTTCAAGTATCGTTGAGTCCTTTATCAATGTAATAAATATGGGAGGAGTTCCAGTCGCTGATATCCAAAAGTGAGCACCAGCAAATGCGCCAACAACAGGACCATGGTCTGCCAGAATTATCTTGGGCGAGGCTATGTAGAAGAATGTTTAATTAGAAGCGTGTTTTTTAAGTTCGTTAAAGCAGATTCTAACTCAACAAGAGTATCATTATCAACAAGCATTAAATCCGTTAGGTCACAGCAAACGAAGTGCAGGAATTCCAATGTGGCATAAATGACCGACAGTGCACAATATTAAAGCGAGCCATATTTACGGCCTGACCTTTTAGGTGCCAGTGAGCGCCCACTCGGGATTTGGTTTCTGGGTGATCCGATTCTAAGGCCACGGTCAAACGTCGAACTTCACATGCGACGAACCCTATAATAACGAGAAAGTTTTTGCTCATTACCATCTAGTTCGTCACACGTGAAGTTCGATCGATGTTTGCGTGGGCCTAGATGGACTACATTGTGCATGATGGTTACGTACTTGGCATAACGGCAGTAAACATGAGTACATATCCTCTTCTTTGGCGAGAACGATCCGAATGAAATCTTAACACTGCTTGCTTCCCACCTACAAATACTTCGCTTCCTGTGAGTAGTGCACAGTACTTCCCAATTTCATTGGAGTTCTCATCTGTAATCCTTAAATAGTCGTAGCTTAAAAGAAAAAATAAAATAACACAATTTTTATGGAATACATTTAAAGTAGGCTACAAAGCAGGCGTAAGTTTCCTGCCGTTTTCAGGAGAGCAAATGCAGGTTTCTTTAAATCCAGTTTCAACCCACTGAGCTATTGTCAATATCGGAAAACTAGCAATAATCCTGGCCAATAGGTTTTCAACATCTGCCATTGAGCCTTGCCTGTTTAAGGAATTTTCAAGGAGCCGTGTGGTTCCACCTCCCCCATCCCCCCCCCCCCCCCCACACACACACACACACACACACACACACACGCACACACACACACACACACACACAGGAGAGATTTCCTGGAAAATCATGATGTCGGTAAACTACAATTGTGTGTAACTTGCAAAAGTAAAGGTCCAAGCGTGCTACAGTCTGAATGCTTTGATTTTCAGTGATTGATCAACAACTGACTAACAATTTTTCCAAGCCTCTGTGAGCAAAATTGAATTTTTATATACGTTTTTATATTTACCAGCCATCTTGAGGCGAAGGATTCTCTAGAAGAAAATCCTCAAAGATGATTTTAAGTGCCATGTCTTGTCGAATAGAAACCCTGTAAACACAGTCCATATTGCCTGGGTAATCCATTGGATAATTGGGACTTTTCAGTGTGTTGTTAAAAACCGAGCCACACCCTATCGAGGAAAACTATAGTAACTAGAATATCATAATATAATGGAAATATACTTCGACTGTAGAAAAGTATTGTGTTTGTGATAGGTCTTAATAATTTTAGTGCTAGGAAGATATAAAGAATGTACATAGTCTTTTTTAATATTTTTTTTATAAGCGGTACTTATTATAAATGTATATAGTCTGTGTGTCCCCTGTTAGCTGTAGAGTTTTCATTTCATTTCATTTCATTTCTTTTCTTTCCAGGCTTCAGAGGCTATACATCGTTTTTTTGCTACAGCTCTGTTTCGTATGGCCTAAGGGCAAGCACACTCATCGGGCAATTACTGGAATATCAATATTGCAGGCACTTCAACATAACGATGTAAAGTAGTATCTGGAAGCGTAGTAAAGAAGACAGACGGCAATTTGGTGCACCGAAAAAGTTTATAAGTTGTAACTTTTCATTGGCAGGATGCCTAAATGCGTGCACTCTTCCCGTACTTTTCCCTATTTCATCCATATAAATTTGTCAGTATAGCAACGAAGTGGGCGAAAATGACGGCATGAGGTTAGCTATTTTTCTCCTCTTCTGATAGCACGGAATAAATACTAATAGCCGAAGTTCTTACCTATGATAACCACAGGAATAACTCTTTTGTCTGTTCCATAGTTGTTGGTGGCTACGCAATAGTAGTTTCCATCCTCATAAAATCTTGTGTATACGGAGTTACTTCTGTTGAACAGAACTGTAGAGTTCCACACTATTGCTGTGTATACCGGAGGAGTTCCTGTGGCTTCGCAAATTCTCATCCAGTGACCTGCGGCTGTGCGCACAACTGTGCCTGGAATTGGCAAAGTTATGTTTGGCAGGGCTAAAAAAGCCAAAAAATAAATGACAAAAAAATCAATAAAAAATCAATTTGTTTCAAACTACAATTGCTCACGGCAACTTGCATACTCTAAGATCTCTAAGTCTCTATAAGATCCTCCCGGCTCCTATTTTCAAAACACCTTCCAAAGGGCAACGATAAGTCCTTTTCCACATAAGAGAAAGAAAGCAAGAAAAGGCCACGTGGGCTTAAAGTACAAATGAGACTCCCAACGGAAACATGTCAGGGTTAAGCAGCAGCCAAGTGTATTTTTCTTAGATACTTTATTGTATTATATTTTATATTATTATTAACTTTTGGCCTTTTTTATTTTTTATGGAATATTTTATGCCCTGTCTAATACACTTACAAGGTTGAACCGGTGTAAAGGACAGAAGAAATCCTCTCGCTTCGAAATAATCATCAGAATGGAACGTCAGTATCGCTTTGTTTCCACCTACACTGGTTTCCTTACCGGAATGCCAGCCACAGTATTTGCCAATTCCCACAGCCTGTTCATCTGCAATCTCCAGATAATCGAAGCTGCAAGAATTTTCACATTTTCTAAAGTTTAATTCGCTGGCTTCTTAAACCCTACTTTCAAAGGATTTTTTTCATTTTTTTTAAATCTAAGACATGAATTGATATGTGAAATGATATAATATGATACAGGTGTATATAGGATATTATCTAACTCGAGCATCGACAAAACGAAAACTACAGTAAGACTTATGGCTCCAAAAGTGAAGACGAGAAGGGAATGGTGCAAGAGGGAGGTGAACTTATTACCAGGTGAGCGTGTAAGAGGAATAAAAGTTCTTTGTGCATAGGCAAGCCTTTAAGCGGAATTTCAAGATCACTCTACATGTATTTACCATTCTCTATTCCCAGGATTCTGTAGAAAAAAATCTTGAAAGACAATTTTCAAGGCCATGCCTCCTGGAATTGAAACCTTGTAAACACAGTCAATACTGCTAAGATAGTCCATTGGATAATACGGACTTTTCAGAGTATTGTTAATAACAGAGCCACAACCTGCAAAAGAAGGAAAAAACTTGGATTTCAATGCTACATTTGTAACAAATGTGTAGATTGTGGTACTCATTGGTTATTGAATGCAGATATTTTTACGGAATTTTAACTAGGTAAGAGGGGTCTATGCTAGCAATAGCCCTTCCTTGCAACCCTAGAGCAAAACGAAAATGATTTTGCGAACCACATCAGTCGACATTTCAGGACATTATACGCAGAAAAGCAACTGCCGTTAACCTGCTGGGTGAGATTTGGGATGTTCCAGCTCAGAACCGCCTCGGATTATTCTTATTTATTTGTAAATCCTTACATGCACTAAGATATGAAGCATGAGAACAGTTTTATTAGAAGTCACTTGTTCAGTTAATGATTCGATTAATGATAGGAGTTCTTCCTTTTACTTGAACAAAAAGTTAATCAATTCAGGGCAAAAAATTCATTCCCTTTTTTTTATATATTGTAAATCTTAACGCAAGATTTCTTCTAGAAGCGGTTGAAGGTCCTGGGTGCAGCTTTCGCGGCTGTTTCATCTCCGTCGATCGCTAAAAATACTCCGTTTGAGTTGTTGAGGTGGGAAGAAATGGATTTTCTTCTTACAGCTCAAGTCCTCACCGATGATAACAACAGGAATAACTCTTCTGTCCGTTCCGTAGTTGTTAGTTGCTACGCAGTAATAGTTTCCCTCTTCATACAAACGGGCGTCCACAGTGTTGGTTTTATTAGCCAGAACGGTAACGTTCCATACTACTGCCGTGAATACGGGAGGGGTACCAGTCGCTGCACACACGCTTATTAAGCGACCTGAGAATGCCCGCAAAACGGTGCCTGGAACTGGCATAGTAATGTTTGGCAGGGCTGTAAAAGGCAAAAGATAATGAAATAGAAAACAAGACCATGAAAAAGTTACAATTCAGTTTCACAATTGCATAGAAAAACAAGCATAAGTCTTTAAATAAATTTACTCTTTTTATTTGAGATCCTACACCGAAATTTAAAACACCCCACCAACGATGTGTCCACTCCTCTACACGAAACGAAAGTAAAAGGGTAGGCCATATTGGCTTTCAGTAGGAAAAAGACCTTGTCAACAATGCTAACCTTTGCCTGAAATTAAGGTGCAGCCTACTGTACTTTATGCCCTATTGAACATGACAGTTTTCAGGGGCGGATTTAGCGGGAGGGTGCAGGGGGTGCGCACCCCCTCCCCCTCCCCCCGAGATTACCTGCGGTTTTCTAATACAATTGGTATTCTGCCAAAAAAAAAACTATGTGGTTTATGGGTGTTGAAGTAGAGCAAGAGACGAGTGCACCCCCTCCTAAAAAAAATCCTGGATCCGCCCCTGGTTTTAAAAAGGCTCTTGTTACACTTACAAGGTTGTACCGCTGTGAAGGACAGAAAAAATCCTCTTTCGCGTCCATTATAATCATCGGATCGGAAGGTCAAAATTGCTTCGGTTCCACCTACATCAATATCTCTACCAGACTCCCAGCCACAGTATATATCAAGTGTCACGTTGTTTTCATTTGCAATCTCCAGATAATCGTAGCTGCAAGGAGTGTCATATCTTAACTCTAGTTTATCAAACTTATAATTTACCTTAAGATTTTTACATGAGTAACTAAATTACCGAAGGATTATATTGAAATCTTCGTTTCTCAGATCCTGGCCCTTACCCGCGTCAATAGTGATTTGATGAGTTTTTTTAAGAAGTACATTTTCGTTCTACTGATCTCCACTCTGATACCTGATCTCTGTGAAGAGTGGGCTGTCAATTGAACTTGCTGAGTTCTGCCGCCTAAATAGGAGGCAAACCAGCGCCGTGCCGTATCCTAAACTCCAAATATGGGCCTAACCTCTCAAAGCCAAAAGAACAGGTAAGGTAACAGGCTGTCTTACCCTTTTTTTAAAGAGTCCTAATTTTACGTCGGTAGCTTGAAATAGTCATCTGACTAACAAACCTGAGGCCGACGATGCGCTCATTTTACCCCATTTTACCCCTCATTTTTTTTTACTTTCGGGAAAGCGATGTCTGCGCGTGCTATGCAACGTACGATAATGAGAATGTAGCTTGAGGAATAAGAATTATGGTTAATGTGATGCTTTAGCTATTTGCCTTCCGCACATTGGTGTGAGTTGGGAACAAATTTTAAGATTCCGACGGTGATAGTTTTAAAATACAGGCTCCATGCCAGGAAAGGATAAGAAAGCTTCTCTTAAATCGTATATCTGTATCTTATAATTCTCTCTTTTCTTTAAACCTTTCTCCCTTTTAGACTCTTATTTAATATGGGGTCAACCTCTTTAACTTCCTTTTCAGGGTGCTACTTTTGTATTTTTGTTCTCATGTTACTTTGAATGAAATATGTATCGAATATGTATGTAAAGAACGGGAAATATTTCCACAACGATGGCACCATGCTCCAAAGAATAGCTGATGAGTCTGGTTACTTAGGGAAAAATAATATCCAGGTAATCAATGACTAATTTTGAAGGAATCGGGTTTGCATGTAACTACGGAAGACGTGTTCTACCTGGATTCACGGATCAAGTCGCGCACCTAAATTAAACTTGGAAATTGGCAGATCAATTTTGGATGCACTGGAGCCACCTCTCCAGGCTTGTGGTAAATGATTATCAAGATAGGGGCGGGTATTGGCAATTTTTCTTATGAGAAAGGCACTAATCTCGTTTATCCTTATGCGGTGGCAAAACGGGTGTGCTGGTAGTCTTCAAGAGATTCTTGCTTACTTTCAATAGATGTTTGAGATCATTACTTTGCTAGTATTGAAAATTTTTCTTATGAGAAAGGCACTAATCTCGTTTATCCTTATGCGGTGGCAAAACGGGTGTGCTGGTAGTCTTCAAGAGATTCTTGCTTACTTTCAATAGATGTTTGAGATCATTACTTTGCTAGTATTGACATCATTATAATAGGTCTTGCAGAGCTTTGTTGTTTTTAAGAAAGGTCACATAGTTTCTCCTTCTCTTTCACAGAATGAGGTCAGACTGACATCTGAGAATTCTCCATTTTCTCTCTGCTTTTCTGCATTGATTTTTAGCTACGATGATATCATTCATATCAGTATTAATCCTAAAAACACGAGGTCGAAAGAAGATTTTCTTAGATGTGATTAGAGCTTGACGATTCCAAAAAGAGAAAATACAGTTATCAACAGATCAACAGGTTTAGGTTTTCAGGTTACGGGTTTCTCTCAGCGCATAACTTGTGTTTATCAGTCTAATGCCTACCATATTCCCCAACTGCTCTCTAAATCAAAGTAATCAAAGGTGATTTTCAGCGCCATGCCTTGCGGAATAGAAACCCTGTATACACAATCCACATCGGGTGGGTAGACATTTGGAAAACCAGGGCTTCTCAATGTATTGTTTACCACTGCACCACAACCTGTCAAAGGAAAGATATCACCAACTTAGGGCTATTGGATACCGTCAGGCGCGTGTTTCGTGCGAGTAATGTAGTGCGTTCCGGTTAAACTGCAGATACCTGAAACCCTACATCAAATTAAAGATCATTTGAGTGGTTATCCAACCTCGTTCCCAGGTCCTCTCCTACTAGTCTCTTTGCTGGCTATGAATAAACCAAAAGTCCAGTTTCGAATTCGTCGCGGTCGCTGGATAGGCAAGCACTGAAGAGTCATTTATACAAGGTTAGCCTCGACCTAAAGTAATGTCACAGCCGATATTTCAATGTTATCTTTAGAACGGAATTCAGTTTCACCAGAGCGTTATTGTAGCAATTCTGCACTACTCAGCAAATCTAGTTTTAGCTCTTCTGTGTCTTTCAAAACTCCGCAGCTGAAATCACAGGCGGCCCAGACGTAGTATGTGTCAAATGAATATATTAATATTCACATGGACAAAATAGGATGAGTCGTTGAAACTCCCATGAACTAAAATAGTCCAAAAGTCAAAATATCACAAAACAAAGTTGAGATACCTTTAACTGAACGTATCCTTGTCTTTCCTGGGCGGTTAAAGTGGCATTTTTTTGAGTTTTGCAATTGTAGGTACTATCCACTAAAGAAGGATTAAAGGCTGGCTACAAAACAAACGGACCATCTCCACGCGCCTTCACGCGAAGCGCTATAAATTCGAGAATAATCGACGAATCCTCTTCAAATTGCCATCGGCTCATCTGCAGGTAACGTGTGCTTCTGCTTCTTACTCGCTAGCTCCACAAAACCCATCGTAACTGCACAATAATCGCTCGCTCATCAACAAACACTGTTGACCTTTAAGCTTCGATATGACCGCAAACTACCCGGTTTAATACGCGACGTGAATGTTCAAGTTTAGCGACCGCGTCCACGCGACAATGCAGCACTTGCTATGGGAGGGATGGTACTATTGCTTCTAGGTCAATCGACACTGAGCGAGGGTCCGCTGCGTTAGTTTTGGCCAGAAAACAAAGGCGATCGCGCGACCGTCCGTAAGTTTTCAACAGGGCGGCCCTGGTTTTCAAGTTCGAATTCTTCTGACGTTCGCTGTCACAGCTGCTGTCACATTATTCGTCCAGCCGCTTGCATAGGTTCTTGACTCTACTAGACCTATTTGCTTAGATTAATTAAATAAACAGTTCTTTCCAGAACTACGTCTTACTCAACAATATGTTGTCCAAACTGGTGAGGGAGGACGAGGATTTTCCGCCCAGGAAAAAGGCAAAATCTAGCCTCGGCTATGCAGCTGAATAGAAGATACAGCTGAAGATATGGTAAAGCTAAATTTATGTGCACGATATCTTTTATTATTATTATTATTATTATTATTATTATTATTATTATTATTATTATTATTATTATTATTATTTTCAAAACTCCGGGGCACCCAACGACGGTTTCCCCCTAAATACCCTGAAAATACTTTTTAGGCTATCCAGAGTACTTTTAGATCTCTCGAAATGCATTCTAAGCGGCGCTAGAAATTTTGCATCTGTTCTGTCATCCTAGGACAACCGAAGACTTTTCGAAATTATTAGGGTTTCAGTATTACTTTCCAGAAGATTTTAGATGTAATTTAACGTTTTACGAAAGCGACAATTTTTCTACTTCCTCCCTTCATCGCATTTTTTAGTCCGAAAATTTTAGGTTTCCTTTTTCTACGAAAAATAGCCAAACCTGGGGAATGAAATGTGAAAAATTAAACCTCAGAAAATCGTCGGGAATTTGTTAGGAAAGCTTCGAAAATTGTACGCGAATGGAGCAGTCACCTAGAAATTTTTAGCCTTCCTCAAGTAATAGAAACTTTTAGGCAATATTTGCTTCTGCGAAAAGATATTTTACAGAAAATAGTCATTGGATGCCCTTGACCAGAACTGTGAAAAACACTGAACAATAGGTCTAATTGCAGCACACTTTCTTGTACATTTCCTTGCCGTTGATTAGCATGACTGCAACGTGAAACGTCCAGAAAACTTCCTGGTTTTCACTTGTGGTACATGTTCTTGTTCACTTTTTCCACTGCCGCTCATTTTGTTTTAGCTCCGCTCAACTCCGCTATAAAATTCTTATCTGTTCGGTCATCCTAGGGCAAATTGGATCTTTTTGAAAATTACGAGGGCTTCAATATTATTTTCCCGATTGATTGACCTAGAAGCAATAGTACCATCCCTCCCATAGCAAGCGTTGCATTGTTGCGCGGACGCGGTCGCTAAGCTTGAATTTCCACGTCGCGTATTAAACCTGGTAGTTTGCGGTCATATCGAAGCTTAAAGGTCAACAGTGTTTGTTGATGAGCGAGCGATTATTGTGCAGTTGCGATGGGTTTTGTGGAGCTAGCGAGTAAGAAGCAGAAGCACACGTTACGTGCAGATTAGCCGATGGCAATTTGAAGCGGATTCGTCGATTATTCTCGAATTTATAGCGCTTCGCGTGAAGGCGCGTGGAGATGGTCCGTTTGTTTTGTAGCCAGCCTTGAATTCTTCTTCAGTGGATAGTACCTACAGTTGCAAAACTCAACAAAATGCCACTTTAACCGCCCAGGAAAGACAAGGATACGTTCAGTTAACTTTGTTTTGTTATATTTTGACTTTTGGACTATTTTAGTTCATGGGAGTTTCAACGACTCATCCTATTTTGTCCATGTGAATATTAATATATTCATTAGACACATACTACGTCTGGGCCGCCTGTGGTGACATGTGCACAAATATTGGAACATCTGACATGTAATTTCAATAGAACACGTGTACTTCTGTACGTGTCTCTTTGTTAGACGACGACTATTTTACAATTCAAAAGAACAACTGTTATGCTCTATTCATTCAGCTTGATTTACAACATGTGTTTTTCTAAAAGTCCAGGAACCGAAATAGGAAGTATTGTATTTTCAGCATAAAGGAAAAGACTTTTAACCAATCGAATTTTAACGCGTTGGTCAGCTAGCACGTGTACTTTTGATTAGGTTTTTGTGTTCCTTTGTGATAATCGAACGCCTGTGTTTACTGTAGACTGTATAAAAGTAGTGCTTAAACTGTTGTAAATCGATTACCTAACCTGCAATTACCTAGCCTGCGATTACCTGCACGATTACCTACGATTACATGTGAAGTACTGTCTACGAGGTTTACTCTACAATAAAGAAGTTGCAGCATTACAGAAAAGTCTCAGTTCTTGTCCAACCTTCGTACCTTGAGACTTGGAAATTAAACCCTGTACCTCTGGCAGTAGTAACCAGTGCCAGCAGCGAGCCAGTCGCTCTACCGAATTGCAGTTTCCCCCGTCAATAACTTCCATTAGCAGATCACTATTTGCTAATTCTCGCGCCCTCGCGAAGAGCTTTAGTTCCGTTGTTTTCCTAATTCGACTTTCCCGCCAATTTGGTTTGACAGGCCGAAAAGCCGCTTGACACAGTGAAATTTCCTCTCGTTACAGTAATCATATTTACAAATTCCAGCCAGAAGAAGACCTGTGTACAGCTGTGTCTATTGTTTTAAACTCAAATTTAGCCATTTTCTCGCCGGTATTTGTGAATATGTTACTTTAGGTCGAGGCTAACCCTGTTTGAATGAGTCTTAAGTGCTTCTATTCATCGGCCTTGAAGAATTCGAAACTGGATCAGTTGACGTTAAAATAACGTGCCGGGACTTTGTTATTTTCGATTGCAAGGAATATTTACAGAACAATTTGGAAATAGGGTTAAAGAAGTTGGACGATCATTAAATTATATGCGCCTAGGTAAAAAATTTTAAAGACACAAAGAAATCCCTGACATGTGTTTGTTCCTTACACATTGAAGAATCGATCATCCCTAAAAATTCTCGTTGAATCGTGCAAATTCTATTTGAGTTTTAGATTTTGAGACCTGATTCGGAGGTTTCCATTAAAAAAAGTTAAACAAAAAAAAAAACGGAAAATAGTTGTTTTATTAAAATAATAGCCAGTTCAATAAGCTTATAAACAAGGCTCTACCAGAGAAGACAGCTTAGTATTTTTCTCTGCAGTGTAGCAACTAAAACTTATAATGTTTCAAGTCCAATATTTTTAAAATGTAAATGTATGAGTGTTCATATCAGGCTATGCAAATACAGGAAAAAAATTTCTACTGCTTTTATAAATTAACTTTCCCGAGAAAAAAAATCTTTGTTATGGCACTGAGAAAAGGGGAAATTCTTATTTTATTAGCTTCGCCAAAAACAAACAAACAGAAAGAACGTTGGCAGGGACACCGCAACAGCTGTGGCCAATTACAGCGGGCCCGGCCAGTCGCGAAGTCTTGTACAGGAAATCTAGCTCGCGTAATCAGTTCTTGTTTTGCAAAAATGATTCTTTCCAAAATACCGATTTTTCTTAAGCGAAAAAAATTGACACAGCATGTTTAAGATTTTCCAAGTTTGAGCAGACGAGGGAACGAACTTGTCGAGTTTTCAACTCAAAAACTTTTTCAAATTCGTGCTTGCGTAATTAGCGAGCGAAAATCAAAACATCTTGACGTCAAAACCATGTTTACATACTCTCATGCAAACATGCCTTTTCGGCTAATTTTAATAGAGCGCGCGTACTATCTTATTACTATCTTATTTTAGAAAAACGTATGCATTTTGTATATATGTTGGTCAATAAAGAAATTTCAGTCTCGCAAAAAGGCCTCTTTATCGAAGGTGATTTGCTAAAATCCCACACTTAATTCATAATCACCAGCTATTGTCGACCAAATTTGGAAGAATTTTTGCAATGTGTGAAAAATGACGTCAGCTGTGCAGCAAAATTGCTAGATTATTGAACAGTTAACCGAGAAGACCTAGGACGAGGTTGAGTTGTTTTTGTAGTGAGTACAAAATGGCGGAACATTTCATTCGTTTCACGAGGAAGAAATAGACGAACTATTGGCTAAAAGCATAGCAATAACAGCAAGAAGATAACTCGACGGACGACATCTGCTACTTGGAGAATATTTGCAGAACTGAACAATCCTTTATCTCCTAAACTTGCCAATAAAGATGCACTATCGAAGATGCACTCAACATTGATGGAGGTAAACATGTTTTAGCTTGTTTTTAAACTAGGAATTATTTTGAATGAATAATAACACAATTATTGAAATCGGCTTTCGTATCATCTGAAGAATTATGGAGATCTCGGAGGCTGTTATTCGCCTCGGCCGGAGATAACACCCTCCTCGATCTCCATAATTCTCCAGATGATACTCAACCTCATTCATTGTTAGTTATAATGTACCACAACAAAAAAGACTATATTGTTTGCGGCTTGCTCTGTTTGCTGCAAATAGTGTTTGACAATGAATCAACAAACTCAATTATTATTATTATTTTTTTATTTATTTAATTCTTTTTACATAGCGGTCTGCTATGTAGCTGGCCACACAGCCGCTTTCACAATAGTTTCAATTCAGCATAAATTACAGACAAATAGAACGAGGCCCTACCCAGCAAAGGTGAGAGCAAACATCCGCATCTTATAGTCAAGGGTGGGGGGAGTGGGTAAAGAGAAGAAGGAGGCGATTAACTGATTCTGTCGGTTTTGTTGAGTCCGTCATAAACCACGAGGAACAGATAGATCTCCAAGAGCGTTCCCAGAATGTTTAATATGATGCACCCCTATTGAAATACCCCAACCAGCATAATATTTCGGTTTAAATATTAACCAGGGGACAGCATAAAGTTTTTATTCTCTGTACAATTATATCTTTGTACCACCGATACTTATATCAGCTCTTTGACCTACCCACCTTGTGTGGCAATGACCATTCCATGGTTCAGCCACGTCATTGCGACATACCACAGAATAATATTCGTTGCACTGATGATAATTCCTTCGGTTGGCGATTTAAAATAAAACATAGGGCCTGAAAAAAAATAATGAATAAATCACTAATAATGCATTAATCAATTAATGAATTAAAAATAAGAAACGAGATATTAAAAATTAAAGAGCGACCACTTTTAATGTGAGTGTTCGTGTAATGGCTCCCGTTATCGGAATTGTCTTAGAGGGGACGGCCATGGTGTTTGCATGATGCGGTATTTCTGCTATAAAACTTGATCAAGGTGTAAAACCTCCCACTCTGACAGTTATGACTGCGAAAATTAATGTTGCCTCGCCCTCTTTCCAGGGTGGCCTTAAAAAATTGATCGCTCCTTCGCACGTGAACGTTTTTTAATTGCAAGGCTTGGTTTCCTTTAGTAAACCATCGTCGGTGAATAAAACTACATGTTATAGTGACATCTGCTGGTACAATTATCTCAACAACAAAGGGGTCGGGCATCAAGAAGCACTGCATTGTGTGGCTGCGGTCCCTGCATTCATAGTTTTTGTATTGATTCCTATATCGGTATAAAACAAGGCCTTGAGACTGAACAAACTCGTATTTGGATAATGATCGTATTTATAGTCGAGTCCGTGAAAATGCCTTTAAAATAAAAGAAGTATTTTTTTATTATTACTTCCTTATCTGTACGCAATTTCATGTTACCTCCCTAATTTAATTAAGAAGCCTTAGTTTTATCGGTAGATTTCTTTAAGAACCAAAGAAATAAAATAATAATACAACCGAAAAGAAGTGAAAGTGAAAGAAGCAATAAGAAGGTATTGTTCTCGTCATATATTTTCTCCTTTTCTTTGATAGCGTATTGTTATTTTATTATCTATAATCTATATTTTAACATGGATTTTTGATTAGATCGAAGGATCTATCTAATTCACATTAAATATTTTTAAATTTAAACATGATTCACATCTTTTTGGTGATATGTTACAAGAAGTTTCATGTCTTTCATAAAAGCGATTCTAGTTGGTCTCGTGATTAATCAAGGCAGAAAAATTTATAACGGAAGACATGAATGTTTGACCAAAGAAAATGTTACGGAGATGTTACGTGCTAGTAGACGTCATCATCTTTGTTTATGAAGTACCATGCACATTTTGGCATTATATTAATGTTGACGAAGTAAGTTGAATCACTCTCAAAAAATTATTACAAAGTGCGATGGCATTTTTGCAAATTGCGACAGCTTAGTTTATTACAAAGTGCGATGGACTGTTATTACAAATTGCGATCTCTTTTTTATTACAAATATGCGACAGGTATTACAAAGTGCAATGGATTTTTTACAAAAGCGACAGGTATTACAAAGTGCGATGATTATTACGAATTGCGACAGTAACTTTTCAAAAGTTCCAAGAAAGACAGTACCTGAAAAATATTTGCTCTTCTATATCTTTGTCTTGTTTCGACCAAAGCTTTCCATGAAACAATTTCATTTTCTCTCTTTTATTTCGTCCAAGGAAAAAAAAAACGAACATCCCGCTGTATACACCGTCCCCCGTATTGCCATTTTGTCTATCAATATTCGAAATATTTCTTGCTAATTTTAGCTAACGATCGTCACCTTTTTATTTGTCTATGACGAGGCTTCATTCACCATCTGGACCGTAAAAGCCCCCGCTGAGCATTCATTCAAAACAACGATTTCCTTTCAGGTTTTCAGAATCGGTAATTAAGTAACCTTACAGCTTTTACATTAAGGAATCAGAGCTCAAAACAAAACTGAACGACCGTGAAATGTTGTGGTCAGCACATTATGGCGAGATTAAAACTTCTACGAAAGTAGTCAGTTTAATTTCCATTGTACTATTTATGTCTTAAAATTTAAGAAAGAGAAAATTTAACTTTTCATCATTTTTTTTTTGTTTGGCCACTACAGATGTGAATATAAAAGGTTTAATGAGTCAACAGATATCACTTTGCTCAAGGGTGATTGTAAGGTCCAATCTTCGAAAAGCAGATTCTCTACGGCTAACAGTGTCAATTCTGTGGATCCTGTTGCCCTAGTACAGTTGAACTGAAAGTTCACTCAGAAGACAAATTTCAAAAGCCACTTCTTGCCTATTTAATTTTGCAAACACTTGTGGCGACCCAAATTTAGCCTCAAGCGGAGCTCCACTCGCGCGCGCTAGCGTAACCCCATATATAAGAATTTTTGGTTACCTATCAATCCGAGAAATTCTGGTAGTCACGTGACCGTACGTTTGCCCGCCCGACGGCCCGATCCACCCGTCTGTCTCCACCACAGGGAAACCAGTGTGAAATGTCATACTATCTAGCCGGCGTGTGAACCTGCAACATGATACTGCACATTGACAGCTGTCAAAATAGGGTATCCGCTGGCAAGTGTCACATCACTTTATCACTGTATCATGGACTCAGTTGTCCTCCCATTGAGGTTACGTATTTTTCTGAAGCTCTCCAGTGACAAGTTACTAGTTTTCAACTGGTCGCTGGCTCAATTTCAATTTTTTTCAACGGGAAATAGATCGACTTTTTCTTGATTACTGAGAAAGAAGAATTCTCTCCGCGAGCCGTTTCTTGATAGTCCCAGTAATTACTGGGTCCGGAAAGCTGTTTCATTATGGATCGAGGTTTTAATCACATTGAAAGTAATAAAACAAACCCATGGTTAGACAAAGCTTTTATGAGCTACAGGCCGCACTACTGGACTATCATGATCATTCTCCGCCACCTTTGATTTCAAATTATGACTTCGGGCGCAAAACTTTCACCAGTTTGCAGGAGAGGAAGGCAGTTGCAATAAACTTTGGCTTTGCTTAACATGATCACGCTTTGTCACCCTTGGTCGCTTTTTTTGCATACGATCTTTCGTCTAGAAAAATCAGTTAGTTTTTGTTTTCCCGCTATTAGATGCCAGACGGTCCAGGTGTTAAACATAATATTCACTGTTATTTTTGTTTTGAGCTGTAAAAATGTAAAAGTATTATCAAAAACAAAACAAGATGGCTTAATAATCGATTATGTAGACTTGATAGGAGACTCAGTGTCTTCAGTGAGGGCTCAGCGAGAGTACTCACGGTCCAGATGGTGTCTCCAAACAGTTCTTTTGTCCCTTACATAAAAATTTTAACGTAAATACAAATTATTCCAACCTTTACGATTGTTAATCAAAACAAGTAAGGAATATTTCGATTATTGCTAGATAAAATGACAATATGTTATTAAACGCTGACAGCGGGATCTTTGTCTTTTTCTTCCGACGAAATGAGATAAAAGAAAATTACATTGTTTTAATGAGAAAGTATGGTCGAAACAAGATGAAGATAAAGAACATCAGTTGTCTTTAAGGTACTGTATTTCTTCTTTTTTTTTTTAGCTTTTGAACAACTACATGTAAAACTTGTTTAACTGATAATTTTATGATTCAAAGGGCCTTTTTAAAACAAAAACCAGGGGTTCACTCTACAGCGACTGCAAACGAAAGAACAAGCTTTATTTTATGCAGACAATATTCTTTAGCTAAATGTTCTGTCTTTAAAACGGGAACTTCCACATACTATAAGCGTCCCCGGCTAAGGGAATGAGGATTACAAAAATCGTTCGACAAAAGTTTATTTGTTTAATTTCCAGGCAAGGAGCGAAACAGAAGCTAACATAGAACCTGTTTGGTTTCACTTAAAAAGTTACTGTCCGAAGCAAATCAAGTAAATTCTGTCGTTTTCGAATTTGACAAGTCCTCAAAGCAAGGTCTCAAATAAAAATATGCTAACACTTTTTATTTTCTTTACCAAATTCATTGAAGGTTATTTTTTCTTTTGCAATGCGTTGCTTTTTGTTGCACCATCTGTTGTTGATGAACACATGTACCAGATGTCACCTTGCACATGTATTGATCTTAAAATACTTTTCTTGCATGGCTTGCACTGCCTCTGTCAAACGGCACTCTAAATCATGTAAATAGTGTAACTAGTACAAATAGTTTAATTCAGCGACGATGCTGTACTAAAGGATATTAAATGTGCCATTTTGCCATTGTATATTGAGCAGTGCAATTGAAGTACATACGTGCCGTATGGGGAGCCATGAAGTGTCCACCGCCACCTTGAGGAGAGTCAGAGGCAAGAATCGCCTCCCGCAGTCAAAATTGTCAAGGTGTGAGGTTTCACGGCGTGCTCAAATTCAAGTAGAAAAAATGGCCCAAGACTACTATGAAGAAATCATGCCCACCCCCTGCTAAGAATTCCGATTTCGTGGAACCATTTACGAACACTCCCAAACGTGGTCTTTCATTATTAATTTCATAGGTGACAAATTACTCCTTAATTTTGGCGCGAAATTTCAGCCTTAATTCATATTTTCACATGTAAAATTACAAAATTGCCATGGCAGCGTCCATGCGTCTCAGTGCCGAGATGGCGTCAAGGTTTTGAAATGTTATGAATGAAGATGTCAGAGCATTAAAAGACGCATTAAAAAATGTAAACCATTTGCGGTCGATGCAGCCAATTAAGTTCACTGTTACAGCGTTCATTCCCTGAGGACATGGGAGTAACCAATAGGCGACCCAGTTGAGATTCTGAACCGATTTCTCGCGTGGAAATGAGGTTGCTTGTTTGTGTGACCAGAGGTCCGTCTCGGGAGCTTTATAAAACTGTAAGCACGGTTTATTTCACATTAGGTATTTTGAGAAAGGACCTCTAGAGCCGGGGTAGTATGTTGCCGAAAAATTCTGAAAATTCTGAGCATAAACTTTTAAGTGCGTGGAGTTCTCGACCGATACAAAAAATGGTAAACATGTCACAAGGCGAAGATTGTGATCGTAAATTGTCAAGGCATCGGACGTCGATTTTCGGAAAATATCTGTTCGGAAGACGATTTGAGATCTAGAATTTTCGTAACACTTTTTGTAATTTTTCGTGCTTGCCTAACTCTCCTAGGGTTTTCGAACATCTAAAAAATGGTATAATTGCCCATTTTTAACGGATTTTTACCCTAAAAAGGTCACCTAGGATTTTCAGGAGCCTTGTTTCTGGCTGAAATTTTCGAAAGGTAAGATCTGATCCCTATAATTTTCGGATCACTAGACTTTCAGCTAGGAAATGCGAACAGATGAAAAATTTGCGGGGGATAAAAATATGTCTTTTGCTACCGTTTAAATACTAAAATACGTTTAACAATGCTATGTTTAAATGGTTTTGAACTACATTCTCGTTGGGTGCCCCTGATTTGTCTTCCAGCATGTTAATAGGTAACCAAATGGTATACTCGTAAAATTAGGGGAGAATTTCATGATCACTTGCCTTTTGTCCAAATCCTTATAATTTCCCAACCCTTATTACAATTTGGACAGAGCGCGCGTGAAAATATTCCCTAATTTCACTCGTAAGAATTTAAGTACAAATACTCAATTTTTTTTCTTTTCTTTCTTCCTCAGACGCGATGTTTTATTTCAAACTTTCCGAAAGCAAAAGAATTAGCATTTACACCAAGAATGTTATCTTATGGTATTTAGCGATTACGTGGCTGAGCCATGGAACAGTCATTGCTACACCAGGTGAATAAATCAAAAAGCTAATATTGGTATACTGGCGACAAAGAGTAATACAGTGCCTATTACTTTCAGTTTTCCAGTTAGATTAAATTTATGCTTTTTTCAATTACGCCCCCCTCCCCCAAAAAAAAATTATTTTCCAGTTAATCTATGAGCACCAGGCTTCGCTCTGATAACGGGTCATTTTTCAAAGGCTGGGATTTCGTAATTAAAATACTGATATATACAAAATACGTACTTATATAAAAAAAAAAAACATTGAAAATAGTACAGTGTAGAAAATGAAAATAATGTTGTTGCTTGCATTTATATCTAATAAATACTAGACCATTTTTTTAGGGCACTGGAATATTTCATGTCTTTTCTGTGCAAGTTTGGGAGTTTTCCAAATACTTATCAACAACTTTCAAACTTTTTACAATTTGCTGCTTTCAGGGAAATCGCTACAGCAGAAGTTCGTTACCAATAAAGGACATAAAGTACTAAGGTCCTTTTCAAGCGTTTTACATGTATGTGATATATGGTATAGCGTATGCTCAATGACGATTTTTCTATACTGCAAGGTCATATTGAAATATATTTTGCTATCTTCTTGGCCATCAGACACATTTTCGTCAACGTTTCCTGAATAACCTTTACTCCCAGTGAGTTAGTGGTCTTCGACTTACTTCAGCTTTCCAAGCTTGATTTGCTAATGGTCCTGCTATACAGCATCTAGTGAGTTTGCCATAAATAACAAGAGAGGAAGGTTTCGTTTATGCGGGCGATAATGTTCTATTCATTTGTTAGCAGATTGTGGCTCAGTGGTAAATAATACTTTGAAAAGCCCTGGTTTACCAAATGACTATCCAAGCAACATGGATTGTGTATACAGGGTTTCCATTCCACCAGACATGGCGTTGAAAATCATCTTCCTTTACTTCCGTTTACAGTATCCCGGTTATGGAGGAAGATGGTAAGCATTTAATAATAATAAGCATTTAAGCAAAAATAAGAAAGCGCATCGCCAATTAGTACATCTAGAAACTCTGACAAGCAAATTTTCACTAATTTTATATAAATAATAACCAAGCGCGTAGCACTAGAACATTATTATCTTCCAAAAAAGCAACCTTCAAGGGGCTGTGTCACATTAACTGCTGTTTTTTTAAAAAAGCGATATCTTTTTTCGTATCAATCGACTTCCAAAAATAATAGTCCATTTTTTGTTATTCAAGACCATATTCAGGCACTGAAATTGTTTCCCGTCGTCTGCTATAATGGATTGAAAGAATGGACATGTTTTGGTTTTTCAAGTATTAATGCTATGCCTTCCAAAATGGCCAAAAAAATATATATTATGGATAGTGCATTCTAATGAAATTTGTTTGATATCTGTCTCATAACTCTAAAGCAGCATTTTGTGTAATGGTAAAGGCACTAAGTAATGACTTGAGCACACAGTTGACCTGAAACAGCAATATCATCATGACACAGATCCTTTAGCAATAGGTACAGTTTGAAATGTTTTCACGGGCAAAAAATGTTAGAACCGAATGATCGCTAATCCCTTGCCGCACTAGTAAGAACGTAAGTAAGTAATCGGTTTAATAACAGCGTTTCCACATTGTGAATCTTCGTCTGTTACTTATAACTAAAAAAAATTAAATATGTATCAAGTATTTACAATAAGAATATACTATAAAAAAATAGAACAGATAACGATTGAAAGGGAAAGTATTTGCAATGATCGTATGAATAAAGCTTAAAATACAATTCAGTTAAGCTGGCCTGTGCAACAGCGGGATCTTTGTCTTTTTCTTCCGACGAAATGAGATAAAAGAAAATTACATTGTTTTAATGAGAAAGTATGGTCGAAACAAGATGAAGATAAAGAACATCAGTTGTCTTTAAGGTACTGTATTTCTTCTTTTTTTTTTTAGCTTTTGAACAACTACATGTAAAACTTGTTTAACTGATAATTTTATGATTCAAAGGGCCTTTTTAAAACAAAAACCAGGGGTTCACTCTACAGCGACTGCAAACGAAAGAACAAGCTTTATTTTATGCAGACAATATTCTTTAGCTAAATGTTCTGTCTTTAAAACGGGAACTTCCACATACTATAAGCGTCCCCGGCTAAGGGAATGAGGATTACAAAAATCGTTCGACAAAAGTTTATTTGTTTAATTTCCAGGCAAGGAGCGAAACAGAAGCTAACATAGAACCTGTTTGGTTTCACTTAAAAAGTTACTGTCCGAAGCAAATCAAGTAAATTCTGTCGTTTTCGAATTTGACAAGTCCTCAAAGCAAGGTCTCAAATAAAAATATGCTAACACTTTTTATTTTCTTTACCAAATTCATTGAAGGTTATTTTTTCTTTTGCAATGCGTTGCTTTTTGTTGCACCATCTGTTGTTGATGAACACATGTACCAGATGTCACCTTGCACATGTATTGATCTTAAAATACTTTTCTTGCATGGCTTGCACTGCCTCTGTCAAACGGCACTCTAAATCATGTAAATAGTGTAACTAGTACAAATAGTTTAATTCAGCGACGATGCTGTACTAAAGGATATTAAATGTGCCATTTTGCCATTGTATATTGAGCAGTGCAATTGAAGTACATACGTGCCGTATGGGGAGCCATGAAGTGTCCACCGCCACCTTGAGGAGAGTCAGAGGCAAGAATCGCCTCCCGCAGTCAAAATTGTCAAGGTGTGAGGTTTCACGGCGTGCTCAAATTCAAGTAGAAAAAATGGCCCAAGACTACTATGAAGAAATCATGCCCACCCCCTGCTAAGAATTCCGATTTCGTGGAACCATTTACGAACACTCCCAAACGTGGTCTTTCATTATTAATTTCATAGGTGACAAATTACTCCTTAATTTTGGCGCGAAATTTCAGCCTTAATTCATATTTTCACATGTAAAATTACAAAATTGCCATGGCAGCGTCCATGCGTCTCAGTGCCGAGATGGCGTCAAGGTTTTGAAATGTTATGAATGAAGATGTCAGAGCATTAAAAGACGCATTAAAAAATGTAAACCATTTGCGGTCGATGCAGCCAATTAAGTTCACTGTTACAGCGTTCATTCCCTGAGGACATGGGAGTAACCAATAGGCGACCCAGTTGAGATTCTGAACCGATTTCTCGCGTGGAAATGAGGTTGCTTGTTTGTGTGACCAGAGGTCCGTCTCGGGAGCTTTATAAAACTGTAAGCACGGTTTATTTCACATTAGGTATTTTGAGAAAGGACCTCTAGAGCCGGGGTAGTATGTTGCCGAAAAATTCTGAAAATTCTGAGCATAAACTTTTAAGTGCGTGGAGTTCTCGACCGATACAAAAAATGGTAAACATGTCACAAGGCGAAGATTGTGATCGTAAATTGTCAAGGCATCGGACGTCGATTTTCGGAAAATATCTGTTCGGAAGACGATTTGAGATCTAGAATTTTCGTAACACTTTTTGTAATTTTTCGTGCTTGCCTAACTCTCCTAGGGTTTTCGAACATCTAAAAAATGGTATAATTGCCCATTTTTAACGGATTTTTACCCTAAAAAGGTCACCTAGGATTTTCAGGAGCCTTGTTTCTGGCTGAAATTTTCGAAAGGTAAGATCTGATCCCTATAATTTTCGGATCACTAGACTTTCAGCTAGGAAATGCGAACAGATGAAAAATTTGCGGGGGATAAAAATATGTCTTTTGCTACCGTTTAAATACTAAAATACGTTTAACAATGCTATGTTTAAATGGTTTTGAACTACATTCTCGTTGGGTGCCCCTGATTTGTCTTCCAGCATGTTAATAGGTAACCAAATGGTATACTCGTAAAATTAGGGGAGAATTTCATGATCACTTGCCTTTTGTCCAAATCCTTATAATTTCCCAACCCTTATTACAATTTGGACAGAGCGCGCGTGAAAATATTCCCTAATTTCACTCGTAAGAATTTAAGTACAAATACTCAATTTTTTTTCTTTTCTTTCTTCCTCAGACGCGATGTTTTATTTCAAACTTTCCGAAAGCAAAAGAATTAGCATTTACACCAAGAATGTTATCTTATGGTATTTAGCGATTACGTGGCTGAGCCATGGAACAGTCATTGCTACACCAGGTGAATAAATCAAAAAGCTAATATTGGTATACTGGCGACAAAGAGTAATACAGTGCCTATTACTTTCAGTTTTCCAGTTAGATTAAATTTATGCTTTTTTCAATTACGCCCCCCTCCCCCAAAAAAAAATTATTTTCCAGTTAATCTATGAGCACCAGGCTTCGCTCTGATAACGGGTCATTTTTCAAAGGCTGGGATTTCGTAATTAAAATACTGATATATACAAAATACGTACTTATATAAAAAAAAAAAACATTGAAAATAGTACAGTGTAGAAAATGAAAATAATGTTGTTGCTTGCATTTATATCTAATAAATACTAGACCATTTTTTTAGGGCACTGGAATATTTCATGTCTTTTCTGTGCAAGTTTGGGAGTTTTCCAAATACTTATCAACAACTTTCAAACTTTTTACAATTTGCTGCTTTCAGGGAAATCGCTACAGCAGAAGTTCGTTACCAATAAAGGACATAAAGTACTAAGGTCCTTTTCAAGCGTTTTACATGTATGTGATATATGGTATAGCGTATGCTCAATGACGATTTTTCTATACTGCAAGGTCATATTGAAATATATTTTGCTATCTTCTTGGCCATCAGACACATTTTCGTCAACGTTTCCTGAATAACCTTTACTCCCAGTGAGTTAGTGGTCTTCGACTTACTTCAGCTTTCCAAGCTTGATTTGCTAATGGTCCTGCTATACAGCATCTAGTGAGTTTGCCATAAATAACAAGAGAGGAAGGTTTCGTTTATGCGGGCGATAATGTTCTATTCATTTGTTAGCAGATTGTGGCTCAGTGGTAAATAATACTTTGAAAAGCCCTGGTTTACCAAATGACTATCCAAGCAACATGGATTGTGTATACAGGGTTTCCATTCCACCAGACATGGCGTTGAAAATCATCTTCCTTTACTTCCGTTTACAGTATCCCGGTTATGGAGGAAGATGGTAAGCATTTAATAATAATAAGCATTTAAGCAAAAATAAGAAAGCGCATCGCCAATTAGTACATCTAGAAACTCTGACAAGCAAATTTTCACTAATTTTATATAAATAATAACCAAGCGCGTAGCACTAGAACATTATTATCTTCCAAAAAAGCAACCTTCAAGGGGCTGTGTCACATTAACTGCTGTTTTTTTAAAAAAGCGATATCTTTTTTCGTATCAATCGACTTCCAAAAATAATAGTCCATTTTTTGTTATTCAAGACCATATTCAGGCACTGAAATTGTTTCCCGTCGTCTGCTATAATGGATTGAAAGAATGGACATGTTTTGGTTTTTCAAGTATTAATGCTATGCCTTCCAAAATGGCCAAAAAAATATATATTATGGATAGTGCATTCTAATGAAATTTGTTTGATATCTGTCTCATAACTCTAAAGCAGCATTTTGTGTAATGGTAAAGGCACTAAGTAATGACTTGAGCACACAGTTGACCTGAAACAGCAATATCATCATGACACAGATCCTTTAGCAATAGGTACAGTTTGAAATGTTTTCACGGGCAAAAAATGTTAGAACCGAATGATCGCTAATCCCTTGCCGCACTAGTAAGAACGTAAGTAAGTAATCGGTTTAATAACAGCGTTTCCACATTGTGAATCTTCGTCTGTTACTTATAACTAAAAAAAATTAAATATGTATCAAGTATTTACAATAAGAATATACTATAAAAAAATAGAACAGATAACGATTGAAAGGGAAAGTATTTGCAATGATCGTATGAATAAAGCTTAAAATACAATTCAGTTAAGCTGGCCTGTGCCCGGTTCTTTAAAATGCGTGAACTAAATAGATTAAAATCGTCACATTTCTTAATATTATCAGGAAGATTATTAAAAGGACAGCCGTAGTCTGGAAGGTTCCTTTTTCCAGAGGAACTTGTAATCTTTTACAGCCCGAGGAGCGCAAAAGTCTACATATAAATACTCTCTCTAAGTTTAAATATGAAGGCCACTGCTTAGTGTGAAGTGCTTTAAAAGTCAACTTAAGCAAATTAAAGTCCCTTCCCTTCACTAGTGATCTTGAACTCACGGCTTGTGATCCCTGAAACCGCTGCTGTGATCCCTGTTCCCATCCCCCCATTTATGCCATTGATCCCGACAGCACAAACCTCGTTTCTCTAGTAAGGCATTACAAGCGCTCTCTGTATGGAAACGCCCAAATTGCAATGTTGGCGGGTTTTCAGCGATGATATGCCTATCAGCAAATGCTGTGAATTCGTATAAAAGGAACCGAGGGATATTCCATATAATATTTTATACTATTATTTTCATTAATTGGAATTGACGTAACGGAAAACAAATTTTATTTCAACTGAGTCCAGAGATAAAACAAATGCTCGTAGGATATAGGAATCCTATCGAAAAAGCAACGGTTTTGGAACGATGGACCAGTGTGCAAGGCAAAAAACTAAATGGGATCAGAGGTGAAAAGACGTACCGGTAACTCTTTTCGATGCCTATCCAATTGCTATTAATCGCAAACCATTTTTCACAAAATGTTTGAATCCAGGCCGGATCATATCCTTAGAGTAACGAAGATTCCAATATAATCCTTACCTCATAACGTTATTCATGCAAAAACTTCAATGAAATCCATAAGTTTGCTGAGTAGAGGTAACATACTGTATGATACTCCTTGCAGCAACGATTATCTGGAAATTGCAAATGAGAACAGCGTGGCAGTTGGTAAATACTGTGGTTGGCATACCAATAAAGTCATTTATATAGGTGGAAACGAAGCAGTATTGACATTCCATTCTGATAGTTCTTCTGAAACAAGAGGATTTTATCTCTTCCTCACATTAACTCAACCGTGTAAGTGTAACGATATGTCGACTTCACTATCTTTGATTCCATATTGGAAACAACTGTAAAATAAAAATCCAATTCTTTCTTTGCGAAAAGACCTTTGGAAAATAGAGATACGTTGACTTTTGAGTAACAGCTGGAGTTAATTCCCCTTCTTGTTGGTACTTAGGCACACAAAAACTCAAAGGCATACCCATATCGATCAACTCACTCGGAGATTCGCCGAGCCAAACGGCCAAAACTCTCAAGTCCTCATTAGCCTAGCTTTCGCCCGACTAGATCAAAGACGACCGAGTGATCCTCCATATTTGCATTTTGTTTATGAAAGGAAAATTGTCACACAATTGTAGAATTAAATTGTCCATTCTCATCAGTTTTGTTAATCATTATCATCATCGTTATCGTTATCATTATCATTTTCTTTATTATTATTATTATTATTATTATTATTATTATTATTATTATTATTATTATTATTATTATTATTATTATTATCATTATTATCATCATTTATGCCTTTTACAGCTCTGCCAAACATAAATATGCCGGTTCCAGGCACAGTTGTTCGCCCATTCTCAGGTCACATAATAAGTATGTGTGCAGCAACAGGAACTCCCCCAGTATTCGTAGCAATAGTGTGGAACTCTACAGTTCTGGCCAATAAAACCAATAGTGTAGACATCAGACTGTATGAGAATGGAATCTACTATTGCGTGGCTAGTAACCACTATGGAACAGACACAAGAGTTATTCCCGTCGTTGTCACAGGTTAGAGAAAATAAGCAGTAAGGGTAAATTACTATCTATCATCTCTTAGTCGAGAGTGTAAGCAAACCTTTTTCAACAACAACGATTGATTACACATTCTAGTAGATACATTTGACAAAATTAAACAATACAAATAAACAAAGGAAAAGATTTCACACAACCGGTGCTAGCATTAGCTAGTTGACGCGGAAGGTGAAATGGAGAACAAAATTTATGCATTTTCAACACTTAACCAATAGAAAATGTTTTCCGTGTTTACATAGCCTGATACAGACATGAGAGGGGTTGGGGGAATTCGAGACAGTTATGCAAATCCCAGACGAAGTCGAGGCTTTGCATAGCTGTCAAGAAACGTTTCGTATTGCTTTTATGAATTAAATTTCCCGAGACTAAAAACCACAAAAATCTTTGTTATGGCACTGGTTAAAAGAGAAATTCTCGCCAGTCGCGAAGTCTTGTACACGACGTTTTGCCCGCGTAAGCAGTTCTTATTTTGCAAAAGAGATGCTTTCAAAATTTCGATTTTTTCTCACTTAAAATGTCAGCTTAAGCGAAACAAAAACTGACATATCATGTTTGTAAAGATTTTCCAAGTTTCAGCTGACGAGGGAATGGGTAAATAAAGTAATTTTGTCGAGTTTTCAACTCAAAAACTTTTTTCAAATTCGTGCCTGCGTGATTAGCTCGCGGAAAGCAAACCATCTTAACGTCGCATCGATGTTTACATACTCTCATGCAAACACGACCTTCGGCCAATCATAGCGCGCGTACCGTCTTGGTTATTAGTCTCGCTTGCGTAAGCAGCGAGACTCATAATTTGCAACCCGTTATTCGTCGTATTTTGTACACAAATGGGAGCTCATAGTGTCAGGCGTTCCTTGCGGAGACCGTGGAAACTGCATGGGACTAAGAATCATTGCGTCATCGAAGCCACGCATGTTTTGTGAAGAAAGCTTAGGAAACATTAAATTTAGAGCTTTTCCGAAACATGTCGGTCCACGAATTCTAACGCTTGGAAGCGTTGATTACATTGGAACAAGTGAACACTACAGAGTAGTCGAAAAAAAATAAGAATCTTAATTAGCAAAACTATGATGGTCGGGTGTTGTAGACTTTCATTGTATGCGAATGGGTCTTGTGATGAGCATGCGGTTTATTTTCGGCGATGATTAAATGACGTGCCGCGTAAATCACTTTTTTGATCTCTTGCAATGATGTAATTTCTCTGGAATCGAGGCCCTTGAATTTTCGTGTATTTATACGCGCGTATAGCCGGCGACAGCAGACGTATTTCCGGTCGTCGGTAACACCCGTACTAAATCAATTCAGAAACAAAAAGTTTCGACGACGATAAAGTAGGAAGTAAAAAACCTTCAGCGAGTAAATTCTATTTTGTGTAGAATTAATCGCCTCCCCATTTCTCGATCTAATATCCAAGGAAGCAAGACTGACGGCCGCTGTAACAGCGTCCTTGCTTTATAAAAATATACTCGTCTCCTTCTATCTCAGACTGAAAAAACAAATAAATCTCTACGACATATATTATTCGGAAATATATTGCTCAAAGGATAGATAATTGTATTCGCGTGAAAATTGCGGCCAAAGGCTGAATTGCCCTAAGATTTATAATACCTGTATGTTGAAGGGAAGCAAGAATAAGAACTACTGTAAATCGAAATATATAAAAGTGACTTAAACTAAACCTGTTTTCAGGCTTGCATCAATCTTTCGGTTTTGTCATTTATCGATGCTCAAGGGGGAGATAAATCCCTCCTACCTGTCGTGTATTACATGAAGTAGTAATCGAGATACATTTCGTGTGGACTTACATCACGGGTAGGGGATAAGGGAGCACATTTTGGACTAGTTGTGTGTTTTCTTTCATGCTAGTTTCAATTGTAGTTTCACAACTAGCAATCCCCTAATTTATGTATTAAGAGGATACAACACTACCAAATTCAAATATCAACACTTAGGAGCTGTTTACACTAAGACGGAGGGAGATGCTAGCACGACGAAGATCCTAGAACGTGGACCATCCTATCGCCATATGTTTGTTGTATTCGATTTAAATGAAAAGGGTTGTACTTATCCCTAGCGCTGGGATCTTCCTAGCTGAGAGATCCTAGTACCATGTAAAGTGCCTTTGTTAAGAAGATCCTACTACCAGGGACAAACCAGACAAAAATGGCGGCGAGCCGTTCAGTGGATGATCACGGCAATAAAGGTCGACCATTTCGTTTACCGTCACCATCAGCTGATTATTGTGATAATTCTGCTGAAAGGTGGTTATTACCGCCAGTAAAGAGAGCAAACGGACCGAAACTTCTGTATGCAAACCCAACGAAAAGTTGTTCCGCCTTCTAGGATGTTCCTCCCTCCATGTAAACAGCCCCTCAATGACCAAAGGCTACCTCGGACCAGACACTTGTTACAACTACAGCATTAACAGCTGTGTTTTCTTTTCTTTGACAGGATGTGGCTCTATTATTAACAATACGCTAAAAAGTCCTTATTATCCGATGGACTATCCAGGCAGTATTGACTGTGTTTACAGGGTTCCTGTTCCAGGAGGCATGGCACTGAAAATTTTCTTTCAAGACTTTTTTCTGGAGAATCCCACTTCTTGGAGTAGATGGTAAATGCACATAAACGCCATCTTGAGTTTAATATAAAGTTCACACCGTCAAAGGTCTATCTTTTTGCATCTGAAAACATCAAAGGGCTCCTTTCCCTCTCCATTCAAATTTATTCCCTTATTGTCTACTAATTTAGATAGTAGATAGTAGATAGTAGATAGTATTCTATATCTATATATCTTGTCATATCATATCACATGCAGGTTAAATATCATAACTTACGTCATTTCATACATGTATAAGTGATTCCAAAACAATAGTGATAAAAAAAATTAAGGGGATCTATGAATTATAACATGTAACAATCCTTGCAGCTACGATTATCTGGAGATTGCAAATGAAAACAACGTGGCAATTGGTAAATACTGTGGCTGGCATTCCGGTAAGAATATCAGTATAGGAGGGAACGAAGCGATACTGACTTTCCACTCTGATAATTATAATGAAGCGAAAGGATTTCTTTTGTACTTCACACCTGTTCAACCTGGTAAGTGCAAGTATAGAATTCTTTAAAATATTATGTTATACGGGACATAAAGTTTGGAAGAAAGCCGAAACTCTAATTTAAAATGAACAATCAAATGATCTAAAGTATCCAGGCTGTATCTCTCGCCCTCATATGTAACAGACTTATGCATGCTAACTTGGCGTGAACCATTTTACAATAGAGTAGTTACTATTTGTTGTTGTCGTTGTTGTTATTGCTGTTCCTATTGTTGTTATACGGTTATCTATTTATTTTTGCCTCTTCTAGCTCTTCCAAACATAACTATGCCAATTCCAGGCACAGTTGTGCGAACAGTCGCAGGTCATTGGTTACTACGAATTTGTGAAGCAACAGGAACTCCTCCAGTATACACAGCAATAGTGTGGAACTCTACAGTTCTGTTTAATGAGACCAACACCGTGGACGCCCGTTTGTATGAAGAGGGAAGCTATTACTGCGTAGCAACTAACAACTATGGAACAGACACAAGAGTTATTCCTGTGGTTATCATAGGTAAGAACTTTGGAGTTTTATTCTGTGCCATCAGAATAATTGTCAATTTCCCCTGTGATTTGAGTTGCTCTCTGTTTGGTAGAAACTCACAAAGTTCTTTGTAATCGTGCGGTTCAGTTCAGTATTTTATCAAGTACAACGGAGTATGTCTTTTCAGTTGTATGACAACTTTGGCTGGAGTAGCTGTTGTTTACCACCCTACTACTTCTCAGTTACTGCCAAATTTTTACCCCGTATTACGTTTAACAAGAGATCGAGGCAAACAAAGTCTATCCTTTTGATTAATAAACTGATAAAAGTTTAGGGATCAGATTAGGAAATATATGAGTTAGTAAAGGTACTGACGTAGGCTAGGAAAATTCACTAACCTTGGTTAGAGATAGAAACTCTGGGCCATCAAATTATCACTATAATAATTAGTTAGTGCAAATGTTAGCCTTTTTTGCAAGGTAGAAGTTTAGTAAAAGTAACTAAAGCGAGAGGAACAAGCTTAAATTAAGGCGCAAATAAGGACTTTGTGACAAGCCTAAGAGAGCGTGTTAGACTACTTGTGACGTATGTCTGTCCGGCAGCCGGGGATAATAGTGAACAAAAGTCGAAAGCAAGTTTCTCGCTGGCTATGAATTTCCACAAAATTTTGTGTGTTTCTTTGATATTACACCGATTTACGTATCTTCAACGACATATCACGATATGCATTTATTGTTCATAAAAAAACATTAACGAAATAATGTTCTAATATCAATATTTTCCGATGTCAGAGACCACTCAGTTTTAGCTTCTTTCAATTTTTATTTACTTTAAGAGTCTGCTAAACACCTTTACATGCCTTACTAGGTCGTCATTTCCGAGTTCCCCAGGCCTCTTTATCAAAACGAGGTTAAGTGCCCGGCCTTTGATATGAACGATTTTCATTCTAATGCAAACAAAATTTATTTTCACAAGAAAGGTGGTGCACTTGGCCTCATTTTGAAAGTGAGGGTTTTTGGAACTCGGAAATGGCCTATTTGCCAAGGACTTAAGCCATCTTTTTTTTTTAAAACTTGCGTCTTGTTTGTTCTCAATAATGGTATCTGTGTGTTTGTACTTGATGCGACGACGAAAACGACTTCCACTTTATTTAGCTTTTAACATGGACAAGTTAGGAAAAATGCGCCGACACTACTGGAAGGAAAGCCTTAAAATGAGTAAATTTTGCGAAGTTTTAAGGTGATTTGTTGAAAACTAACAAGGATATAGCCCCTCAAAGTCGCGAAATTTTACAGACGTTTGTGTGGTGGGGGTCGGACACAAACTTGCCCCACCCCACCATACAAATGTCTGCAAATTTTCGCAGCTTTGCGGAGCTATAAAGTAAAACCCCGCGACTAAGAACCTGGATTTTAAGAACCCGTTAGGCTAAAATTTGCCAGTTAAGCCCACACTATATAAGAACTTGTTTAGCCTAAAATTTAAAACAGGTTCTTACTTGCAAATAACTATGGAAGAATTCTTACCACTCCAACTGCATTGTAACGCCCCGTGCAAACGGACGCAATATTGTTGGATGTTACATGTTGCGTCCGTTTGTACACCCTGTTACATGTTGTTGGATGTTGTTGCGTGTTGTTGGGCAAAGTTTGAAACCGGTCAAACTTTTCAGCCAACAACTCCCAACATTTCTTTCGTTCCGTGATCGCCGAAGCGTAGCGCAACAATGTTGGATCCATTTGCACAGCTCTTCCAATATTGTTAGGACCACGCACGCTCATTACGCATGGTTAACAAAGACTTATGGGTTGTATCCTTCCCACGATGCAGTGCAGGTCCCAACATTGTTGGGAGTTGTTGCATCCGTTTGCACGCCACTGCCACGCGCGCAACAACTCCTAACATTGTTAGCGCAATAATGTTGGGAGTTGCTGCGTCAGATTTTATAGGAGGAACAAACTAAACCACTAAATACTCTTAGCTATATTGTATTTTTTTTTCTTCAGAAAATAAATCCTATTCTGTTTAGGCTAACTTGGAAAAGTCCAGGTTCTAAAGTCGCCGAGTTTTATTGTTAGCAGTATCCTCTCTCGCTTAAGACTTAACACTTTCAAATTCCATATCAAAAATGGAAAAAAAATCGTGGAAGATGGAAACTGCTGGGATTACTGAATATTAGTACTAAAGTTTCAAAGAGTGCTTTAGGTCGCTCCGTCGTAATGACTGTAATATTGATATCCCATTTGTGTTTTCTTTGATAGGATGTGGCTCGGTTATCAATAACACACTGAAAAGTCCCAATTATCCAATGGACTACCCGGGCAAAATGGACTGTATTTACAATGTGACAATTCCGAAAAACATGGCACTGAAAATTTTCTTTGAAGATTTCCTTCTACAGAATCCTTCGGTGTATAATGATGAATGGTAAATAACTATAAGTTATATTTATAAAGTTTTATTTTGGTCTCAGAGACTGCGAAAAATTGTTGTTGTTGGTCAATCCAAGAAAAATTAACATGTACGCTTTAGAACTTCATCGCTTCGCTCCCCCACTTTTAATTTTTCCTGAAAACGTCGTGTCCTAAAATCCTGGCCAAAAAAGTAGGAACAATTTTTAGTTCTTTCATTTGTAGTTCTTTAATTTGGGAGCCAGAAATCAAACACTTTTTAAAAATTATTGCACAGGTTTTAGGTTTTTCACATTGTTCAGTAGGGAGTTGGGAAGAAATCATTCTAAGCTCGTATATATAACATGTAAATATTCGGTTTCTTGCAATTCATACACAATCAAAAGGGAGAGACGAAAAGTGATGTAAATCCTATTTGCAAGGATTTTAGCTACCTTTTTGATAATGAGAGTTGAGTTTTTGAAATAGACACCACTTAAAGTTAAAATTTCAGAAGGGTATCAACTGAAAAAGGAAATACGCTGCTTGAATAGCCTGCCTTTACTGGCCTGTAAAACAAGCCGTTTCTAACAATTGTGAACGCTTTTTAAACAACAAAGGGTAGCTTACCGTAGATGTCCTATTAAACGCCCACGGCGTCTATTTAATTTTAGGGGTCCAAGCGGAGGCGTTCAAAAGAGAGACTGGGAGGCGTTTATTCTCATAACTGTAACAAGCTCAACAAAACTAATATGCTTTCAGCAAAAGTATCAAGAGAGTTTAAAAGTATCAGAATGTCCACTCCATCAATTGATACGTCAAGGCCGTCCAGAGATTCATATCGCTCTTTTAATCCCAACATCGATGTCAGAATCCTCGCCGAGGGTTATTGTGTTGCCATCGTTAGTCTATCCTTACTTTGAACTTGTCATTGGACAAGATGAAATAAAACCGAAGTAAAGCCTTATTTTTCAAGCAAGAAACTGAATGAATTGAATGACTTTTCATTTTCGCTATTTCCTAATATTTTTTAGCAATTTTCAAGGGGGACGTCCATTAGACAGGGGGCGTGTATTAAAGAGGGGCGTCTAATTAACAATTGTTGCTCGAGCCCGATTGGGCTCTGAGTCAATAGCCCGTGAGGCCGAAGGCCGAATGGGCTATTGACTCAGAGGCCATGAGGGCGAGAGGAATAATTGTTTTAGTAAAATTCAACTAGTTGGTAAAAAATGTCGCGACAAAACAGCTTCAGCCAGTTAAAGCTAGACTTTAATCCTTTTTTGCCGCCGAAAAGCCGGCGCTATTCGCAACTAGTGGGCTATAACATATAGCTTAGTAGTAGCTCAACCAATCAGAACGTAGTATTTATAATAGACCACTAGTTAGATTTTACTAATTAATTTTAACAGCGTAAGGGAGGCGTTTATTAGATAAAGGCGTATTTCGAACGTGGGAATTTATTAGGTCATTTACGGTATTTCATTTTAAGTGTTTCTTTGTTTGTTTGTTTTTTTTTCCTTAAGCTACGACTATCTGAAAATTACGGATGAGAACTCCAATCAAATTGGGAAGTACTGTGGTACACAGTTTACTGGAAGGGAAGTATTTGTTGGTGGAAAGAAAGCTCTGTTAACATATCATTCGGATAGTTATATCCAGAGAAGAGGATTTCTCCTGAAGTTTACTACAATTCCGCCAAGTTAGTACGTTTGAAACCATCAGGCAGTTATCGTAGGGGAATGTGCTTCGTCAAGATCATCAACAACATTAACACAGGAACAACACTCTCGCATAGTGAATTAAAAGTAAATGTCAAGCTGGTTAGCTCAGTTGGGAGAGCGCCGGTCTGCTGAGCGGGAGGTCACGGAATCGAACCCCGGCCGCACCAACACTCAGGGTCTTTAAATAACTGAGAAGAAAGTGCTGCCTTTGTAATGACATTTGCAAACGGTTAGACTTTCTAGTCTTCTCGGATAAGGACGAAAACCGTAGGTCCCGTCTCACAGCACTTACACTTATCTGGTTCTTGTGGGACGTAAAAGAACCCACACCACTGTTCGAAAAGAGTAGGGGACGTAGACTCCGGTGTTGTGGTCAACCTTCACACATCAAATCATTCAAATCATGGGTTGGGTGGGTACAGTAACCTCACAAATGGACTGAGAGTGGCTGCCAGTGGCGCCTTTGTTTGTCTTGTATGCTGACGTCCGAGCTTACTGTTCACATGTTAAGAAAATGTATTGTAAGATGACACGTCTGTTGTCCTATCATCCACGAGACTTCATTCATTCATTCAAAATAAACAAGAGGTCCTCAATGCGATACCATTAGTCGTAAAACAGCCTAAACAAAATCTTTTCACTCAGAACAAGGTGGAAAACTCATCTTGCCCAATCGGGTAGCCAATCAGGGCTCAACATTCATCTCATCTTGTTCGCTCGATAAGCAAGCCATATTGATTAATAAGTCACACTTTGGACTTTCCTTAGAAAAACTAGGAGAGGTGGCTGTCACGAAAACGAAGATTCAAGGTTAGAGTCGGAGTCTGTCGTGTTTTCTTTCAGTTAGAAGACAAAACAAAGCATGAGTTTAACTAGAAACTGAATCCATAAAAGTAGGGCCGATGTTCTTTTAATTCTTTAATTCTGGCTGGTGATATCAAAAATGCCAAATTGAATTTCCTGCACTTCTTTTGAACAATTTGTTATTTGGTTCATTTTGAGTATAAAAAACTTAATGCATTAACTCACTATAAAACTAGCTTCTTATTCACAATTTTTTTTACATAGCCTCTCCCAAAATAATTCTGCCAGACCGTGGTCCTGTTGTTGGCGCATTTGCTGGCGCTGACTTTTGGATATCAGCGACTGGAACGCCACCCGTATTCATGACATTGATAAAGGACTCAACAATACTTGAAAAAAATATGCAAACTATAAATCGTCGACTATTTGTTGAAGGAAACTACAGTTGTCTAGCAGTTAACAATTACGGAAATCTCACGAAGGTTGACTTCCAAGTCGTCTTTTTTGGTAGGTATTAGTTTTGACATATAATTTAGTATATGCTGTCACTTTCTCTCTTCAATTTAGTTTAAAAAATAATTATTTTCGCTCTGTATCCGCGATTATAAGATATTTAACAATTATTGAATGAGGGTAAGTAGGAAGTGAAGAATTATATCCAGTTCGTGGATAACAGTCTCCGCGAGTTCAGTATACTTCTTCCCAACATACGAAAACTGAATTCAATAATTGTTCTATTGTTCATTCAATTTTGTTTCAAAAATTTTTCAAAAATTTTTCGGTTTTGGAAAATAAACAAATATTTTCTCTTGTAGAGACTCCTCAAAAAATAGATAACATCCCATAATTATATGTTTTGCTTATTCTAGCATTTCTTCCGTTCAGTAGTCACAAATTTAGCTGATTTGTCCTCGGATAGCCTCGAGCGCCAGTTTTTTTTTATTCACATTGCCTAAAAGTATCACCTCGATGACAAACTGACTTTCGCGTATTTAAACAAATGAGACAATACAATTGAAGGGTTTTGTTTATCGTTTGTTTCACGATAGTCAGTTATGGATCTCCACGTTTCGACCGCGTACTGCAACTCTTCACCAGCGAAAGTATCAACTTAGGGCCTGGAGGTGTGGGACCCCAGATAGGTGAGGTAACATGTGGCGGGTCACCCCACCTAACATGTAAACATGATCAAATTAAAATGAGATATTATCTCAACAGGCGGGTTAACCCACCTTAGCGAGTTACCTAGTCAGCTACCTGGGGTCACCCACCTCCATGTAAAACAAGCCCTTACTGAGTGGTACTAAAAAATACCAATATTACATTATTGCCAGTCAAAAAATTGGTTTATCTCGAAACTCACCCATTTAGTGGAGGAAGAAACTGTTCCCTCAGGGGTCCCTTGTGNCTTAGCGAGTTACCTAGTCAGCTACCTGGGGTCACCCACCTCCATGTAAAACAAGCCCTTACTGAGTGGTACTAAAAAATACCAATATTACATTATTGCCAGTCAAAAAATTGGTTTATCTCGAAACTCACCCATTTAGTGGAGGAAGAAACTGTTCCCTCAGGGGTCCCTTGTGGTACCGACCGGCTGTTTTGTACTCTAATCTTAGGCATCCACGCTTTCGGAATCTCTATTCCACTGTCCCTATTGTGTTGTAAGAGCCAAGTCTTATGTGAATGGCCTCTTTAACCCTACGAAAGTGCCAGTGAAGGTCTCGGTCAGTAAACTTTACCCCGTCTCAAAGGGGACAATGACCAGTCTTATTGGCTGTTCAGAGACGGTTGACTTTTTAATTCGGGAAAGCCGTATATCCCTTTCATTCACTGTTAATAATCCATTTATCAATGCATCCGTTTACCCCATGTACATTTATTACTTTTTGCACTTAGATTGCAGGCCAAATTGTGCTCTGTCATGGTCCAGTGATTCAAGGAATGAATTTCGCTGCAAGAATATAACATCACTTACGCATATTCTTGAGAAATGTGCTCCCACGATCACTGAAAGAATGTAAGCAAGTTTTTGTTCAAAACCACACAGTAATTTTTTACGACTTATTTCGAGATCCCGAGTTTGATTTTCAGGTGTGACCTAAAATCCTTGTTTGGACTTCTGTCCCTTTCCGGGTAGCTTTGAGTAGCCTTGAATACCCTTAAAACGGAGAAAGGAAGCAGGAGACCGTTGATTAAAATGACCTTGCCATCGACCACGGGTTGCTAGTGAGATGATGACTGCTACGAGTCACCAGCGAATTTAATAAAGATCATTTACGTTTAATTTTCCTCACGTTTAACTTGATTTCTATAATGTTTGACAGGTATTTACCTTCGCACGCTATTCCAGCACTGCAGGGCAATGACTTTACTAGATTAAGATTTCTTAAATATCTGTAAGTAGAGAATCGTAGAGGATTCCTGTTTAAGTTACCACATTATATTTAGCAATTATTGAATGAGGCAGAGTAGGATTTGAAGAATTCTAACTAAGGGAAAGTTCAACGAAAAAAAAAAGAAGAATAATGAACAAAAAGTGCCGTGTTTTGGTTCGAGTTTTTCTCCAAACGTTTCGGGCCTGGCCCTTTATCAGTTACAAAGTACGTTGGAAACGCCTCAATGTTTGCATACGCCGTGAAAGAAAAAAAAACTTTGTGGTGCTCGCGTTCTGCACGCGGCCTAGAGGATATGGAAGTCGGAGTTTAAGCCGCGTGGATGACTGGTGCTAAGCTGAAAAATAAGGCGCATCTCCAGGCGCTTCCGTTGCACGTTTTCTCAGCAGAGCATAATTCCGCAAGATAGGGCGCCGTAGATCGAGTGACCAGCATGTTAGTTAAAATGTTTCGCGACAGGGAAACCAGGCAAGTTCTTTTCTTTTCTTCGAAGGTGCTCGTCAAAATGTTGTCTTAGTGTACGCCCTGTTTCGCCAAATTATTATTCCTTCGACCCAGATCTTGGCGAGGGTCTTTCTCCATTTACCTCCTTTCATTTCCCAGATTCTGGACTTTATCTGTCGAATGGTTTTGATGTTTATTTTGATCTATTTTGGATGGCGTGACACTGAAAACCAGCAATATGCTCAACAATAGCTGGTTATGATGAATTATGCGATTGAATTTAGCCAATCAGAAACGGAGAAATATTTTGAATAAATAATAATAAAATATATTAATGGTAGTTTAAGTAGAAACCTATGGAACCACGCCTCTCTTCGGGTAGCTGACCCTAAGAGATGACGATTTCTTTCCATAAATAATTTAGTACCTCTATAATCGGAATATTTGCTAATTTCGTCCTCTTGATGTCCATAGGAGAGGTTAGTGTATAATGGCAACGAAAATAATTTCAGAAAGAGCGCTTTAATTAAAAATCATCTCATAAAAGCTTGTTTTAAAAGGTCAAGATATTAGCCCATTCCTAGGGCCTGGGGATAGAATGAGGTAGAAGTCTTTTTGATGGACAGTGCCTTTCTTCTTACTATTATTATTATTATTTATTATTATCATCATTATCATTATCATCATCGTTATCATTATTATTATCATCATATTAATTAAGTTTATACCATAATACAACATACTGGCCGAACCCATTCCTAGGGGCCTAGCCAGGGTTATAATGAGGAAGAAGTCTGTTTGATGCAGACAGCCTTTCTTCTTCCTCTTCTTCTTCTACTTCTTGTTGTTATTATTGTTATTATTATCATTATTATTATTATTATTATTATTATTATTGAGAAATAATTACTAATGCTCTTTTATTTGTTTCAGAGACTTGTCTTCAAATGCCATTGAACATCATCATCATCATTATCATTATTTTTATTATAAACATCACGAGAAATAATTACCAATACTGGTTTATTTGTTTCAGAGACTTGTCTTCAAACGCCATTGAACATTTACCGGAAGTTGTGTTCTCAACACTGGAAAGACTTGAAGATCTGTAAGTTTGTATGTGTTTGTTAGTATTCTTTCTCGAAAAAAAAACGCACACAGTTGTAACGAAAGTGTCTTCTCTTAGCTTAAATGAGGCAGCCCTCAATTCGGACAAGTTTGGCAGTTTTTCTTAATCCACTTTATTGTTTCCCTTATATTGTGGCTCGCAACTTGCCAATGAATCTCTAGTATATTCTCTTCTTGTTTCAGCAATGAGCAACTAAAAAATAAGTAAATAAACCTTTTATAGATTTCACAATTACTAGTTAGCCCAGTAGTTTACATTGTGGTCCCGTCTACAAATAATTCTAAAATGTAAAAGATATTGTAAAAAGAAGTTAAAGGGTAAAAAATCGAAAATGATCAAAAATAGCTATCTAATTAGCTCTAATTGGTACAGTACAATCGAGATAAAAATAAAGGTACCTTAAAATGTCTTTGTAATGCTAAAACGTTTGCGACTTGCATTAATGTTTAAGAATTTCTCGAACAAATGTTTCTTAAAGTTACTTTCATTTGTCATGCATGTTTTTAAGCTTGTCGTCTAGACGATTCCAAAGGCGAGTCGCGCTGATATGAAATCTTCGCAGACCCGCGTTAAACCGGCATTACGGTACAGCCAAGGCATTATTTAACAATTATTCGCCGAAGGCGAAGTTAATATTGTTGAATAATCCCCGAGACGAAGTCGAGGGGATTATTCAACAATATTAACTGAGCCTGAGGTGAATAATTGTTTTAGTATATTCACACGAAGTTGTCTCAACAGAATCAGAAAGAAAACCATTAAAAAACGATTAGTTTGATTGACGGGTGAATTCATGCGTGAACACGAAGCCGTAAACAGTGGATGCGCAAAAGTGAGATCTTTACTGTATCTTCAAACATGGCAAATGATAGTTTTAATCTTTTTGAATCGAGTTTTGTAAGCTTTAGCATCAACGGTTTAAAAGAATAAATTACTACCCAATTATGAGAAGAAAAGTAGAAATTTATTTGTTTCTGTCAACTCACCGTGAATGAGAAAGTTTTCTTTTTTCGCTTCTTGCAAATGCTGTCAACAGCGGCTACGATCAAGGTGAGCGTTGTTTATCTCCAGTGTTCTTTGCCTTGTTAACTTGCTGGCACGTACAATTTTCGAAAATATTTGCCTTCCTCTTTTCTCCATAAATTAACTTCTATTTATAGGCAAGATTGGTCTTGCGAGAAAATCCCAAAATCACAAAACAGTGACAAAGCGACCTCGTTTTCCTCTGTAGTGGTAAACATAGCTTCAAGCGTACAAAACGTCAGCTTCAGTAAACCACTTAACAATAAATCACGCTGTTTAAACACCATGAAGTCTTTTCTTGCCTTCAAAGTCATCAGCACTTGGATATTCGTGTATTTTCAAAAAGGCTTTACTATGAAACTTTGGCAAAACACCCAGTTCACGACAGCGATTTTGTTCTGCTTAATAGTCACCGCCTAGCGCGGTGAATATATACTAAATAACAATTATTCCTCGAGCCCGAATGGGGTCGCGAGAGTTTTAGTAAAATCCAACTAGTTGGTCAAAAATATCGAGATCACAAAAACTTTAGCTAGTTAAAGCTAGACTTTATTAAATCATGTTTTGCCGCCAAAAAGCCTGCGCCTTTTAGTGGGCTTTAATATATATCCTAGTAGTAGCTCAACCAATCAGAATGCAGCATTAATGATAGATCACTAGTTGGATTTTACTAACAGAAGATAATCGAGTGTTATAGCTATGGGTATTTTTCAAATAACTTAATTCTAAGGGAAAACATACTCTCTTTTAGGAATGCGTTCATGTGTCGATTTTAGTACTTTATATCTCATCTTGAGACATATATCTTGAGAAGATTGGGGTATAATTGTTAGCCAAGTATGTTTTTTTAATTTTTTTCCTAGAGCAGGACTGGATAGGCGCTATACAAATTTTTATTATTATTATTATTATTATTATTATTATTATTATTGTTATTATTATTATTATTCTGCGATACTATGCTTGAGAGGCTCAAGATCCAGAAGACGACAGCTAGACTTTGTTGGCTCAGATCTACAGACCGAAAATATTAGAGCCCACCCGAATTAAGACATTTTTTTTTAAGAACTTTTCAAAGAACTGGGAATTTAGGAATACGAGATTTTATTCTTTTTAACTTGTTTCTTTTTAATATCAGAGACGGATGATTCTCGTTTGTAATAAATTAATTTAAACTCTGGACCGCCTGCAAGAGTTATTGATCGCATCTGAGCCGCAAGAAATGGATTTGTTAATCGTTATTGACGCTTAATGTTATATAGTGCTTAATTCTTACTTCAAATATTTCTGTAAATTATGTACATATTTTTAAAGTTGAATAAAATTATTGTATTATTTGGCAATTATTGAATGAGGCTGAGTAGGATATAAAGAATTCTGCAGATCGAGGAGGGTGTTATTCACCAAGGCCGAAGGCGGAGGTGGATAGCACCTTCCGAGATCTGCAGAATTCTTCATATCCTGCGAAAGCCGAATTCAACAATTGCTATATTATTCATTCAAAATAATTCCAACTTTAAAAACAAGCTAAAAATGCTTACCTCGGTCGATGTTAAGTTCACATCGATAGTGCATCTTTTTGGGGAAATTTAGCAGATAGTTACAGGCCTGCACAGGTCTGTAAATATACTCCAAATAGCAGATGTTGTCCGTCCAGTTGGCTTCTCGCTGTTCTTGCTATGTTTTTAGACAATATTTCGCCGTTAAACGAGTACAATGTCCGCCCGACAGTGCCGCCATTTTTACAACTCAACCTGGACCCCAGGTTTCCTCGGTCAACGGTTCAATATGACGGTTCAGTATGACAAATTATTGAACCGATGACGTCATTTTAACGTCATCGGTTCAATATGACAGTTCAGCAGCTGGTTATGGTGAATTATGCGTGTGGTTTTACCCAATCAGAAACGGGGAAATATTTAGAATGAATAATAATAATAATTATTATTATTATTATTATTATTATTATTATTATTATTATCATTATTATTATTATTATTATCATTATTATTATTATCATTTCAAAAGCATTTAGGAGCAGTACTCAGCTCAAGATCTTATCTTAAGGGGTATGTAAGTGAAAAGGTGGACGATTGGGTAGGCTAGGTGGTGAAACTGGCAGAGTTTGCAGCAACCCAACCACAACCCTGCTATGCAGCATGAACCTTAGGTTTGAAGCACAAATGGACGTACTACCTAAGAATAATTAACAATTATTCTTTGAAATCGAGGTGAATGGTGGCTAAATATTTACCGAGCCGCGAAAGCGGCGAGGTAAATATTCCCAAAGCCACTATTCACCGAGATTGAAAAGAGTAATTGTTTTAGTATATACACACGAAGTGATCGCAACAAAATCAAGGAGGAAACCATTAAAAAGTACGATTTGATTGACAGTTCAAATCACGCGAAAGTTTAAAAATAGATCTTTGTAGAATTTTCAAACATGGCAATTCACAAGTTCATCACTTCGCAAACAATCGTGTAATGGCTTTAGTGGAACCGTTAAAAGTTTGAATTGTTTCCTTACCTGAGAAGAAAAGAAGACGTTTGTTGTTTTCTGTTGACTCGCCAAGTTTATAGCCGAAAAGGTTTGTTGTGTCGTTCTCATTCGCATGAAGTGTTGACAAAAAATTATGGCGGGTCGGTTCCTCGAGTTAAGACGTCGTCTTCACGTGGCATTCTTTGTCCTATTTACTTGAAACGTAGAATTTTTACAAACGTTTGCTTTCAAATTTGTTTGTCATAACTAAACTTCGATTTTTGGGCCAAATGTTTCCTGTTAGGAAACGCGAATAAACGAGAGTTATAAACAATTCATCGACCACAAAACTCAGTCAAAGTAAATGGAAAAACGCCATTTTGAATCCTTCGAAGCTTTTTCTTGCCTAAAAAAAAAGTCAACCCTAGGATTTCGTCGTTTTTTAAAAGATCGTTCTATAAAAAAAATGGGAAAAAAGCGAGCTCACACATTATCCACTCGCTAGGAGGTGAATATTGTTGAATAGTCCGAGATAGCGAACCAATCAGATTGCTTAAATCACCAAGATCACTGAGTATGTATATACTAATGTCCGATATTGAGGAACTGCTAGAACCATTGGAACACGCTATTAGTGATGCCCTGATACCATCAATTACGGGCCATACATGCACAACGAGTGAGCGAGAACTGCTGGCACTACCAGTGAGGAAGGGGGGACTGGGACTAGAAAACCCAGTTGAGCGAGCTGGATTCGAACACGCAATGTCTCTTCAGGTAACCGCCCCTCTTGTCGCGCAAATCGTATCCCAGGCGCATGAACCTCCAGATGATGCTCTGATAAGATCTTTGCAGTTAACCACGCGAAGAGAGAGAGATGTGAGACTGGACAACAAATTAGAAGACCTGAGGAACTCCCTACCCGAGAAGACCAAGAGAGCGGTCGATCTCGCAGCAGAGAAAGGTGCTTCAAGTTGGCTAACTGTCATCCCGGTAAAGGAAATGGATTTAAGTCTCAACAAGAGAGAATTTAAAGATGCAGTCCATCTAAGGTATGACTGGCAGCTAAGTGGCGAACCAAATGTATGTGTCTGTGGAGAGCCCTTTAATGTCGATGATGCAATGATTTCTAAACGGAGGGGCTTCATTATACAACGCCATAACAAGCTGCGGGATCTTGAGGCGCAGATGCTTAACCCGGTCTGTCATGATGTTGAAATTGAACCTGTTCTGCAGGAGATTACCAGTGAGTCGTTAGATAGGGGGGGGGGGGGATGGGGGGGGGGGGGGCTAATACAGCCCCCGATTCCCGGCTTGACGTTCGTGCACGGTGTTTTTGGTCCAGACAGGCTTCCACATTCTTTGACGTACGGGTGTGCCACCCAAATACAGAATCTTACAAGGACCTCACCCCTCAGCAAATATATCGCCAGCATGAGAACGAGAAGAAACGTATGTACGCAAGCCTAGTTATGGAG